TCAATTTGACTGAGAAATTTCTTCCCAAAAGGCAATTTGAAAAAATAAACATCAAATTCTCGACATTTTCTGAATTCCAATAGATGATTTAAAATATTATCCGGTACAACAGGTGATCGGCAGGAAGACCCCCCAAAAAAAAAATAATGACCCCTCCTCGCAACTCAATTATTCAAAAATAATTAAGCAATGTCGGACATTCATAAATTCGTGATTTGTTATCTTTCATTGCTTGATAATCTCTCAGATTTTTTTTTACTTTTTTGAAGTGAATTACAAACAGACTATATAATCTTTGTTGGTGTCTCACGCACTTCGGCACTCTGACATTACAGCCCACCCAGCATTTCTCTTTCTGCGGCCAACCCTGGTGGAGGAGGAAGGGCGGACAAGCCCCCGTTTTAATCTTGCAATATAATGCCCCTTCTCGATCATACATTGCATAGATTTTAAGACAAATGAATTATGGACATAAATATGCTAATGTTGATAAACGCTCATGCTTGAAACGTCGTTCTCATAATTCGTTATTTTTTTCAAGTGATAAATTCATATTCATCAATTGAATTATGACATAGTTTGCGTTAAAAAATTCCCACCTACCACAATTTAACACACTTGTACACCACATCTGTCCTGGCCGCGGTGTAATTTTTGAGCCATTACATTAAATCTGGGTAACATTAAACAGCTTTTTCGCGTACCTGTATGTAGCAGGTGTGTAAGTCTGTAGAAAACGGAATTTTACTGAATCATACTTGCAAGTACATTCGTAGATACCACAGTGAAATCCTGTTCCAATTCACTTGAAAAGCTTTAAGATCAATAAGCTATGTTGTAATAAAACACAGTCATATGGCATACATTGGGTGTGCCATCATATTGTAAAATGATAACTACCCGACCAACAACGCAAATCCACGATAATCGGCTTACACAGGTCGAAAGATTTTCAGACCTCAACAATAGTTCTTATATAAGAAGTTAGGGGAAAGTTCCAACGATTTAACGTGGAAATTTATTTGAATTTACAAAACTTCTGCTGGTTTCCAAACAATGGATTATCAATTGAGTTACCTCAAAGTCGCTCTAGAAAGTGGAATATCCGAAAAATGTATTTCGTTCCAAAATAACGTTTACCGTAACTTCAAAGTCTATACGAAAGACACAGAGCTGATGAAAATGCAGAAAAAATTTGGCACCATTTTTTCATTCGCACTTATTCGCCATGCGTGAAGAAAATTTAACGGGGCTCCCTCTTTCCGGTTACAACAATACATTATCTAAACCCGCCCGAAGTCAGCCGGCCGAGTCAGCCGGCAGAGTGCACTGAGCGGTCAGCCCTGGCGATCAGCCAGGGCGAGTCAGCCGGCGCGCCGCGAGTCAGCCGGGAGTCACCGGTGTCACCGCGCAAGCGGGCCGAGTATCAGCCCCGAGGTCAGCGCAGGTCCCGAGTCACCCGGCGACAGCCCGGGCGATTCGGGCAGTCAGCCGCGGAGCCTCGAATCAGCCCGGGCTGATCAGCCGCCGGCACGGCGATCCCCAGTCAGCACGCGTGCGGGCACCGGCATCAGCCCGTGGCCGAGTCTAAGCCCGGGCCGAGTCAGCCCGGGCGAGAGCCCGGGCGAGTCAGCCCGGGCCGAGTCAACCTACGGCCGCCCGGGCGTGAGTCAACCTAAGGCGCGGTCACGTAGCCGCCGGGCCGAGTCAACTAGGCCCGCCCGGCCGAGTCAACCTAGGCCGGCCCCGGCCAGAAGTCAACCGTAGGCCGCACCGGGTCCGAGTCAAACCTAGGCCGCCCGGGCGAGTCAACCGTTAGGCCGCCCGGGCCGAGTCAACCTAGGCCGCCCGGGCCGAGTCAACCTAGGCCGCCCGGGCCGAGTCAACCTAGGCCGCCCGGGCCGAGTCAACCTAGGCCGCCCGGGCCGAGTCAACCTAGGCCGCCCGGGCCGAGTCAACCTAGGCCGCCCGGGCCGAGTCAACCTAGGCCGCCCGGGCCGAGTCAACCTAGGCCGCCCGGGCCGAGTCAACCTAGGCCGCCCGGGCCGAGTCAACCTAGGCCGCCCGGGCCGAGTCAACCTAGGCCACCCGGGCCGAGTCAACCTAGGCCGCCCGGGCAAAATCATACCAGATCAACCTACAGAAAATATTACTTGAGTTCACTCTACCCCCTACCCAGGCTGAAACAAGGTTCAATAGTATAGTGTAGACAGGACATTTTACATTCGTTACAAGGTCATACATAAATGATATCACCTATAATTTAAAGATTTCTAGGCCCCCTGCCCCCCTGTGTCACGATCTCTCTGAATTCCTCTATTATATTGCCAATGACGTCACTTCTCACACTTAAGTCTGCCTAGTTCGGGATTTATCCAGGCTCTGAATTCATAGAAAAATCCTTCATTTATGCTTCTTTTTATGCAAATTTTCGTCCATAGTTTTGATTTATGTTTTATCTAAGTAATCAAGAAAATCAACAAAACTGATTTCTCTATGATGTTCGTTGCCTCAGTGTTTAGTCTATAGAAACTAATAACTCTTACAAATCTGAACGCGTTTCAAAGATATGGTGAATTTTTTAGGCAGCTACTGCGATGCAGGGACGTATATTGGCAGAACTATGAGATCGTTTAGTCTTTCACAGGGGCGGCGCCAAGAATTTCAAAGTGGGGGGGGGGGGCTCTAGTTGATAGAATTATCAGACTAAAGAACCATCTTTTGATAAACGCACTTAAACGCTTCACGATATTTTATGCCTATTATTTTATGGGGCACTAATTATGCTAACGGTACGTTTGAAGGGGCCGGCGAGAGGTTGGCGGAGGAATCACGGATATTTGAAAGAAGTGGTTTCCTTGCGAGCGAAGCAAGGAGAAAATTTTCACGACCACGCTCTTTAGATTAGCTTAAAATACATTTCAGAATATTTCTTGCAGGTATTTTCTTGCAATCGTTTAAAACATTTTGTTATTTTCAAGGCACGCTCTTAATACGTTTGATTAATTCCAGTCTTCTCTTAAAATTGAACGGCAAACATGCCGAAACTGGCAATCTTGAACTGAGCATAACCCATCATTATATTTAAAACAAATCAATTTCTGATTGAATGGAGAGCTTGATGAAAACTTTCCATGCCTACCGTTAGACACCATGATAGACTTGTTATTCTCAGCCCTCCCCACAACAGTAGCCAAATAAAGTGGGGGTATCGACGGAATACCATGAAATACTTGGAGATCCTGCAACCTTCTTCCTAAAAGCTCGGTCATAATCTAACCAACCCAAATTTTGTGAATCTCTGCTTGTTTTGGCTATAAACAAAAAATAAGCAACTAGGTCATTAATCTTTTCAGGGTGACACTGAGAAACCACACCAGCATAGCCTCTGCCCAATCACGAAACGATAATATTGCTTGCAGCTCCGGAAACTTCCTATCACATTTAAGTAGGCGAGTAAGTTGCGGGCTTACAGGTTCAACATCCGGCAATTTGTCCAGGTTGCAAGGACGGAGCAAAGTCAAGTCGACAAAAAAGTCCTTCTTGATGGTGGACACTAAATAACCGGGAACTGGTGGTATAACCCCCGAAACAGTCAAGTATGGTCCCGAGGGTTGGGCTGACAAAAATAGCTGTGAATTAAGACCTAACCAATCCCTGGAATAGCGGATTCTAAACCAGACATCTGAGATAAAACGGGGAATGTTGGAAACCCATCTTGATTAGACATACCAGAAGCATCTGCCGCCGAAGACACTGCAACAAATGGTGGCGCGTGCAAAGTTGCTGAAGAATCAGAAAAATTAGATTTAGGAGCAGCACAAGGCATTGTAATACTACCTACTCCAGGCTGTTGTTTTTGGCTAGAAAAAAACGATAAAGGCGTGTTTAAGCTTTTGCATAGAGCCTCAATAACCAACAATCTGGCATCCACGCTCGTCTTCTCGGCACGAGGAATATCATGGTGTTCCTCATCCATGTTAGACACAAGCGACTTATAAAACTGCAACTCAAATGCAGTTGAAAAAGCAAAGACAATAACTAAAACGATCTCACCAATTGTTTTTTAGGTACACAGGCCAACCCCCTAAATTTAGGCCAACTCTCACTTTACCTTACCCTATCCACGCAATTTTTCATACCCTTTTACGATGTTTTCATATCTATATCCCTCTTTCTTTCTTTCCTTCTTTCTTTCTTTCTTCCCGAACTTAATTTTGCTATTTCTTGTAAAAAAGACTGTAAACTTTTTCGATCTTAGGCCAAAAACGCGAAAATGCGAAAAACCCGAAATTTTCTTCCCGCGAAAGTTTTTTCCCCTAACAAGTAGTTGCTCTACGACCCAATAAGAATTCGAGTTAATCTTGTTGAACACCAACTCTTGCGAAATAAGCCACAACATTAGTATTGAATATTCAAAAATATTACAAAATTGACAAGAAACTCAATTTGCGAAGTTTATTTACTTATCGTAATTTTCTGAAAACGCGAAGGTCTATTCCTGCGATATTTCCCAATTCGGTTGATTGGCGAAAGTTAATTCTTAAAAATTCGCGTGATCCCGCTTATCCCACTCACTTGAAATTAAACGGAGATAGATGCAAATGTATGACATCTAGAGCAAGTTGATTTATTTTGTAGAGAGAGTCAAAGTTTGGGAGGTGTAGATTCTTAGAAAGAACTCAAAACATGTGGTTTTTTGTGACGTCCGTGTTGAAGGCGGAAATAATTAATAGTCTTCTCAACGATAACATAGCAACAAGCATAATGGTGAGTGAATTGATTACTTGTCACCAGAGAAAACTAAGGCCTAAGCCAGAGCAAAAAGCTAGTCACAGCATACTTTGTGGTTCCTGCCTGGTCGCAGGTAAAGGGCAAGGAGATAGAATTAAAAGAGGATTAAAAAGGAAACGTGATACCGATGGGGTCGTGTGCAAGCGCTCAGAAAGGCGCACGAAGGCAGGAAGGTGCATCAGCTCCCACGTAAGTTGTTGTTAGGCCCCACTTTTTGTAGTTTTTTGCAGCAGCTTTTCTTGGATCATGTATTGTAGTTTGCTTATTTAACAAACACATATAAACGTTTGATAATTTTTTTCTATTTATTGAGTCTAATTTATTAACCTTTTTTGTTTTCAAATGAAACGGCAAGACTAGCAGCAAACCGGTTGCTATGTTTGGCCTAAATGAAAATAACGCGTCACGAAAGAAGACATTATCTGATGTTTTACCTTTAGCGTTATGTAATAGAACAGCTAAATTAACAAGCTACTAAGTCAAACTGAGAACATATTGGCTGCTGACGGGGGATGCTGTCAATTTTTTTAGGGCTGTCCCGAAACATTCTCCACAGAACTATAGCACATTCTAGTTCTACAAAGGGGCGGCACCAAGAATTCCAAAGTGAGGTGATCGAGTTGATAAGATCATTAGACTAAAGAACCAACTTTTGATAAACGCACTAAAATGCTTCACGATATTTTATGCCTATGAGTTTATGGGGACACTGGTTATGCTAGCGGTAAATTAGAAGGCAGGCGATAGGTGGTCGGAGGCCTTAGCTTAGGTACCGTAATGCCTCGAAGAAGCGCCCCCCTCAAATAAGAGCTCCCCTCGAATAAGCGCCCACCCTAGAGGTGAAGTTATTGAAAAAGCACCCACCCGTCGAATAAGCGCCCATCCTTCAACCTTCAGAAACGGCGGTTATTCGAATTTTCAACGAAAGCATAATTGGAAGGCAATTCAACAAGAAAGAAAGAAATTTGCAACCCAAATCTACTTTTTAAATAAGCGCCCCTCGATTAAGCACCTCCCTCGAATAAGCGCCCACCCTGGAGCCTCAAAAATTAAATAAGCGCCCGTGCGCTTATTCGAGGCATTACAGTATATCCGAAGATGAGGCTTCCTTGCAAGCAAAGCGAGCAGAGAATTTTTCCGACCATGCCCTCTAGACTAGCTTAAAGTACACTTCAAAATATTCCTTGCAGTCCTTTTTTTGCAAACATTTTGCTATTTTTAAGACATGTTTTTATTATGTTTGATTAATTCAAGTCTTAAAATGGAATTCGTTACTTTTTATGCTGCACCATAAGACACCAGCTTATCACTTGGAAATTAAGCAATACTGTAATAGGATTCATTGCATTATTCTTTTCTTCTATCTCTATTTTACTCTACCCTTATTTTTGCTTAAAGACATTTTTTTGCCTCCCAGACCCCCATCTGGTGCCACCCTTGTATATGCATTAACAAGGCGGGTCAATACCCCTGAGCTATTTGCTCTACACCATTTAGACCCCTCACTCCCCCTGAGTATTTGATATAGTTTGACAGATATGGAGAGATGGGGCTTCAACCCCAAGTCCCCTGCTTTTGATGACCTTGAGTACATATGTCAAACTAAGTTTGATATACTTATAAAGAAACTTAAGAGGAGGTCCTGAAGGGCAGTAGCGGCGTGGGACATGTCCCCCTCAGTTCTCTGCAGGATCAATTTTGTATTTCCTCTAAATCTGATGAGAAAATGTTAGGGGAGGGGAAACATTTTGGCAACATACATTATTTGATGTCATCCTTTGATTTTCAAACTGCCTTTACATAGCCAACAGTTAGTTATGGGCGTTCCTAAAATTGGCTTTCCTTGTTTATAAAGGGGCGTTTCCTAGCGCTAAAAGGGCGTGGCCTAAATTTTTTATTTTGTCCTCCCTAGAGCGTAGTGGCTGGCGCCGCCATTGCTGAAAGGATGTACTGGCAAATGGGAGTTCCTTACTTTGGCACCCTGTTTGCAGAGTAGATACAATTTCAACAAGCACTTCAGGTGTGAGTGCACAAAAATCACCTGCCAATGTCAGGTGCAGCATCACTGATTTTCTAGTAAAATTCAATAGACCTTGTTTTAAAGTACGCCCTCTCGTTACCATATTTGCAACTTGCTTGGGCAACCACCTGGCTCTGTCTATTGGTTTCGGCACTGGGACAGAGAAAATCATTCTGGGACTTGGATGACCATTACTTTGAGTGTTTGATGTTTTGTGGACACAAGGTGAAGAAAATCTTAGAAGGCCTATCAGGAATGCAACTTTTCCTAATAATAGCAGGGAGCTGGGCTGGGGTTAAAATCCTTTGTCAGAACCCTCTCAAGGAAGCCAACTCCAGATGCTTGGTATCAGATTTTCCCTGAGAAAAAGTAAAGCCAGCTACTTCTACAACTTTTTCCAGAAAAATAGCAATAACATGAAACAATTATGGCCAGGAATTAAATCAGTCTTAGATATTGGGCAATCAAGTAGTGTTAATGTTATAAGTAATCTTAAGGACTCAAATGGTAATGTTGCATCAGATCCTGTCGTTATAGCGAATGTTTTTTATAAGTTTTTTGTTTTTAACGTTTCTCATAACATCACCAAAAACATACCAAGATCTATGAAGTCACTTGCAAAGCAGAATTGGAAGCTTCTTCTTCACTGTCTGAGATAATCTGAGATAATCTCGCTCCTTAAAGCTGGAAAGTCTCTCAGACCAAATAGTGTTCCTATGAAAATCTTAAAACCTCTTTCCCCACTTACATCATCTCCTCTTTCTCAAATCATAAATGAATCTTTCCAGTCTGGAATCTTCCGGGACAAAATGAAGTTGGCTAAAGTTATACCACTTTTCAAGAAAGGTTGTCCACTTGCAGCTTCTAACTATAGACCTCTTTCTCCTCTCTCTATTTTTAGCAAAATCATTGAAAGAGTTATGTACAAACGTCTCTACAAATTTCTTGAAAAGCATGAAATATTATATATTTCACAATTTGGATTTCATGCTAATTATTCTATTGACCATGTTCTTGTTAGCATAACAGATGCCATTAAGAATTCACTAGACAATAGGAAATTTTGCTGTGGGATTTTTATTGATTTACAAAAGGCATTTGACACTGTGAATCATAATATGAACAGAGTGCATTTGTAATCCGGAGTTGTCACTTGCAATACGGACATAGACATAATCTGTCTGATATATTCACAGACAGAACCTCATAGACAGAATATGGGGTATTGGCCAATCAGGTTACAGTTTTTTATTATGGACATATAGCCCGCCACAGGGATCCGAATTACACATTAACACCTTGTTTGGTTGTCAAATTATATTTACACAAGGACTATTACCAGCATCAATCCGCATGTGGTCTGAAGGAATTCAAAACTATGCAAGAAAGACAATAGACATGTACTTCGCTGCTAGCTCTGCGCTTTAATCATTGTTTCAAATTAGTACAAATGTACAAAGTAAACCATTCTCTACTTTCATAATCGTTGACAATCGGATTCCAATGACAGCAAAAAGCCTACACGATAAAATACAAAGCTAGTTACATAACAAATTCCATAAAATCTTACGGTAAAACCGCTCGACAACCGGGCTCGACAAAAACGGACAGCCAAGCCATTAAAGTTTTTTTCAAAACAAACGTCGACCAGATTTACAATGTTGAATTCTCTATCTTCAACTTATGTTGAAATTATAGCGAAAATAGAGGCTCGGGGACAGGATTTTTTGTAAGTAGCGAAATGATTAATTAAAAATGTTATGTACTGTATAGGAAATAAGGAAACACAGTACACCTTTACAATTATTGGGGGTACATTTAATATTTTCTTTCTTTGAATACCCGTTTTATCCAGATTGTTTACATAACAGTCATACACTGGTACGCGTAAGTAAACCCTTCTGTACTTTCACAATCGTTGACAATCGTTATTTTTGTGTTTACTCGGCAAAGGTGTTATCCTCTTCGCTCCTCGGCACGTTAATATTTCAACTGTTGTTTAGCAAACTCAAATCTGTGGCAACCAAACTCATTACACATTACAATGTTTTAGGGTAGGGTGCTCGAATGAAGATAATGGTTACCAGAAAGTCGATTAAAACAAGCGAATAGAGTTCCGCCTGTGGACATAAATTCCAAGTGAAAATAAAAATTTCTTCAATAAGTGTATTTTCCGTCTGCTTATTTATTGAGACAGAAGAAATAATGTACAAGCTAATAAGAATAAGAATACCTATTTTTTGCCGAGCCTCAATATTCTTAAAAACTTCAGGTTTTGAGCCTAAGATTATTCTTAAATTATTTTTGCCCAACACAAAGTGTAAATTCGCCTTAAGATCAAAGAAAAATATTAAATCTTTTAAGATGTGTTGCTTCATCATAAATTTCAACAAGAACATACAGAACAACAAATTTGATATCAAAATGTAAAATCTAATGATACAAATACGGTCCTATTCCATAAGCATGATTTCGGAAGCATTAAAAAGCGGCTGAGAGTATTTTAAAACATATATATAGGACCGTATTTTAAAACATATTTGAACCTTAGATTTGAACCTTAATTTTTATGATTTAAACTTTCATCGAGTTTGAAAGAAAACAGTTGGAGTGGCTGAAGATTCTGCACGATCAGATGAAATCGGTACCAAAAATGTGTTATTTCTGCGATAAAATCTAAATTGCAAATCTAAACAAAAAAAAGTCTCTAGTGCCCCAAAAACTGCAGCGGCGAAAACATTAACGATAAACGTTGGTTGAGGATTTTAGTTTTCAGTTTTGTATGTTTTCAAACGTAATTTCGGTTTGAAGTGGTTCCATATTGAAAATAAACTGTTAAACATAAAAACGAGATTGTACAGTGGTACTTGTCGGCACAAAAAGTAGTTAAGGGGTGAATAGCGTTCCAAAACCTAATTCAGTTCAATTAGTCTGCTACATAATAATTTTGATAAGAGTTTAAGCAATGGACAACGAACTACCAAAACTTAGGAGAACGGACTCATCTACAATTGATCCGAGGTGGCCATGGTCACAAGATAATTTGATCAACGTCTTGGTACAGCAAAAGCTTATCGAGAACAAAAATGTTGCGCGATGCAAGAAACGCGGTCGGCCACTTGGTGAGGACGGAAGTCGAGTTGACGGGCCTACACGAAATACAAAAGAAGCTTTTCAGGAACCGAATGAACCTCTAGAAAAGAAAGAAAAAACTTAGTTCGTTTAAGACCTCTTTTTATTGTTCCAGTGTTGTTTATGTTGCATTTTGCTGCTTTTGATCTAATAGGAATTAAGATTCCTAGAAAATTCATTGATTATGCACTACTTCTCAATTTAAGGCCCTCGGCAAGACTTGTTAATTTTAGTGTTGCTTATTTGTAAGGAAAGATGTTGACCTTTTTCCTAATGCTTTTGCTCTATCTACTTTGTTTGCTATCCCATTTGTCTCACTATTAGCTAAGTAAAGTTTTGGCCTACTCCTTTTCCTGCAGTACTGATTTTTGTTTGCATGTTCAAACGAGTGTCATCTTTTTTGCTTACATTATTGGTCATTTAACAGACTTAATGATAACAATAAAGATAATAAGAGAAACATTCATACAGGGTAAACTTTGTCAATACTACAGCTACTGTTATCAAAAAGGGGCAATTGTTTGACAAAATATGTTGACTGAAATGTTTGCTTTAATCAAACCAATTTCTAAGTTTTGCACCACAAAATGATTGTTTACAATTACAAAGTTAAACCATCAAATTACAATGTGAAAGCCCTTCAATATTTATCGTTTAAAATGCCGTAGTTGAAAATTCTATGGTTAGTTAAATGCCAATAAGGACCATTATGGACTTGAAAGTATGTAGAAGCTTATATGATTTCCGTCAATTATCTAGACAGAAAGTATCAAAATTTGCCGAAGTGCTACAAATACTTACCTAACTTTCACGTTTTCTTAGTCATCTTTTTCTAATTATCTCCACCTGTAAAAAAAAGGAAAATATTCCTAAGATATTGCTAAGCTTCCATGAACTACAACTGTCTCATACTGTTCCAAAAAAGAGTAAAATTTCATCGGAAAGTACATAGCTTTGATTAGTATTTGCACAAAGATTACATGTACTTTTATAAAAAACCATGCATGGATATTTTAGCAAAAGTTTTCTCATTTTAAGAGGTTTTTGCTAGTAAAAAGGTGTCAATGGTTAATTTTAAAAGTTGAAATTATTTTTCGGAGAGGAAAATAAAATAGAGATTGGAGCGTATGACAATTATTGGAGCGTATGATAAACAACAGTGAATAAATTTAATATATCAAAAATGATAAAAATATCCTGTCATAGGGATGGAACGTCTTAATTTATCGATTTTTGCATTTCCAAGTGATCAGAAATTTTTGCTTCAATTTTATGGTTTAATGTTAATACAAATTTGTTCTACAATGTAAAAGTCCTCTATTCACTGAAAGCTTTTGTTAGTAATCTTCTTTTAACCTTTGTTCTTATAAATTGAAAATGTGCACTTGAAAAAGAGAGCAATTGCATTACATTTATAGGCTCAATACAATCTGTTCATATCTTCATTACTGACATGGTCTGCTTTTGGTTTTCAAGACAACAACAACACTCGATAGGCTTATATTCAGGGGCATATTCACCTGGTTTATCATTTAATGTAAATCACTCAAGAAAGCTAACACTGCCAGTTCATTTTACAAACCTGTTTGAAATTTTCTGTATTTTTTATCATCTCATCTATCTCATCTTCTCTTCGTTGCTCGTCTGGATCACTTTCTGGTGCTCGTTCCTCTAGATATGGTTTTAAAATCATATTGTCCCAAAATTTCCGTGACAGCGAACGCTTCTTGCCTGTCGTTAAAGACTTCCAGAAGGACCTCGTGGATTCTTGTTGTTGAAGAAACTCCTTCCACCACAACATTTCACTCTCAGTCATTCTGGCAGCTGCAGTTGTCGCTTCTTTTCTCATTGTTTCCAAATCGTTTTTCACATCGAATTCGGGTTGCAATGGTAAAGGGAAATCGTTTTGGGGCACTTCTTCATTGAGAATTAACAGAGGCTGCTCTCTGTCACCATTAATGTTACGAGGTAGCCATCCCTCATCTGCTGCCCAGTTCTTATAGGTAATGCCAACCTGTCCAGAAGCTGTTTTCTCGAATTTGAAAGCGTGGGGTTTGCTGTGGTTGCGGATGTTTGCGATGTATTTAGAAAGGAACCCTTTGAAATCGAAAAGGAACCGAAGCGTGGTTACTGTTGGGCGAGGGGTGTATGCCTTGCGAAAAACACCTTCCAACTGCGGGAGCGTCACAGCATTTTCTTTGTGCAGTTGGACTGCGTTTCTACTGAACATCTAGGAAAAATTCATGTAAACTATTATACCTCTAGTTAGAGAATTATTTCTAGCAACGTATGATTCATTGTAGATAGCATCTAACATACCTGATCTATATCCTCGTGTGTATGTCCAACCATTAAAAAAGACAGTTTGACCTTAAAAGATAAAAACACAACTAATTAGAAAAAGGTTAACGGCTATGTATGTATGTATAATTCGCCACACTTAAAGTATTCACAAGGAATAAAAGTTAAAATAAATATAATACAATAATTTGCATTAAAAACAAAAAGATAGACACCCCTAATTTTAGTGGCAGAGATAGCATTAAAAGGTCTAGCTGACCTTATTTTCAATATAGTCCCCTTAGAGGTGCTCTAGAAAAAGGCTTGTCAGGAACAAAATGCTTGAGAAAAACCGAACAAAAGCCACATAGAAGTAGCACGCTATTTAGAAACTCAAGTTAAATTTACCTTCCTAACGACATCCTTTTGAACCAGCCAGGCAAGGAATGCGAAGATGTAGCGATTCTTATTTTCTCGCCAGCAGTTGTCCAGTTGCAGGTACAACACTGGTGAGAGTCGTTGTTCCTGTTGAAAATAATCATTTCTGAAGATGGCAAACATAGAAAAGTACAGAAATAGCGTAAAGCAACTTTTTTTGTTTCTTTTTGTAGACAGCAGTTCATAAACATATTTGTCAGTGTTGCAAATATCAACAGTGTAGACAAAATTCGTTTACACAATATTCTGGATAAAACTTGTGGATATAATTTCGAAATTTTTAGAAAAGTTAAATCTTATCCGCCATAGCTATCTGCCAGTGGTAAAAATAAAAAATCTGACTTTTTAACGTACCGTGGCAATATCTACCAACACTCTGTACAGCGTATTCATCACCAAATTTGAATCGTGTGCCCATTGCATAAGATCGATAAATTGGTAACAGGTTCCAGTTCCATGAGATAATAAACCAGTTACATGGGTCTTCAGGAATTCGTCCTTGTTAGACTGGAACAAATAAATGAAAGGAAATATAGATTCTAAATATATTATTTTGCAGGACTTATTAAACATTACTTTCCCATTTTTTTCATTAAATATGAAGAATTCAACTGTGAATTTTAAATTTTATGAAAAAGAATAATGATAGGGACCTTTGATTTTGAAAGCCAATGCGGAATATTAGTTTTGGACTGATCCATGGCGTCAGAAATGATCGAGATATATTTATGTGGGTGTTTTCGCGCTTTAGCGATGTGGTGGTAATACTTCTGTCTTTCTGCTCTAGGAAGATATAAACATTATCGTTATTAATTTCAATAAAAAAATCAAAATGTATTATTTTCATTTTTTATGTTTCATTTCCAGAATGACATTAAAAATATATTGTCTGATCTGAATAAAATATGCTGAATAAAATATATTATAGTGCCTAACTTACTGTTGCTGCTCAATGTGCTTTGTCTTTTTCTGAAGAAGTCTTTTTCTTCTGTCTGGATTTGTGGAAGCAGTAGTCAAATCCTTCAAAAGCACGCAGACGCCACATTTTGTAAAACTGCCTTTTCGCTGTAAGATAAAAACATCTAAAAGATATATCTCAACAAAAGATACCAAGTATATGTACAATTTTCACCCAAAAACAGTTGCCTGATGGTCGCCTCAAGCTTCAAACTTGGAGTAGCAACTTACAATCGTCCTGTTAACGCAAGAATTTAGTACAGAGTTGGCTAGAAGGCATCGAGGACTTAATGACAGACAAGTAAACAGTAATTTTAAAAAATTCACCCAATGTATTTTTCTTTACTATGAAGAATGTCAACCGCATGTAAACTCGCAGGTGTATGCAGCGATAGAAGTGATTCTCAAAATCATACCAGAGCTATGAACTGTTTTATAAGGAATTTTCTAAGAATATTCAGGCAAAGAATCACCCGATTTTTACGAATATTAAAAGAATGTCGCTCGAGCAAAACTAGCATGTTTATGTATTTGTTTCCATTTTCAGCATTCTGGCTGCTGCAGTTGTCTGTTTTGCGATGTTCATACCGGGGAATTGCATGACTGATATTGATTTATCTCTTTATTTTACAAGCGTGCTTTCTATTCGATCTTCCCAAGGAAATATGTTTCCGAAAAACTACGTTTTAAAAATATGTGAATACTTTATGAATATATCCAGGCTCATAATGGAATCTTTTAAAGAACATCGAGGTGAGGCAAAAAGTCAGACCCCTTACAAAAAAGTCTAAAGAATCTTGTGCCATATCACGAGCCACATTTCTCAGACCCAAAAACCCATTTAGCCTTTAAAAACGAGTTGCAGCGTCGATAAACAGAAGATCTTATGTACTCTTACCCTTGAAATTTTCACATGCTTAAAGTCCTCTTTCCACATTTTCCGAAAAGCTGTATATCCGAGGACTTGTCCTCCTTTAGTGTCTGATATATACGTGGCATACAGCTCCTTTCTCGAGAAACAGCATGGCAAGTATACTGTTTTGTCGTCATCCGGGAGAATTTCGCCAATGCTGCACATTGTATTCATCCAATTTCTTGCACGTATTCTTTTCGCAGACACATTTTTTACACCTTTTCTTGATCCTGCAACATTCGCTTTGAATCCGTACTTTCTCGCAAGTTGTAATATTTCATAAAACCTTCAAGAAAATTTAGAGCAATAATTGATCACCATAATGATTACAACAGTAGACTGTATTATATAGAAAATCAGAATATTATAATTTCCGATAGAAACTAGGCTTTTTCTTACCTGGTCGTTGAGCAACCATGAAATAGACACCAAGTGCTAATGCAAACCCTTTGTCCGTCTATAAACAATTTGGGCTCTAATAAAGGCGATTGCGTTATTTCGTCTAAGATACACTGACGTTGCTGTTTTTCCCCCTTTGTTGCGAATCGATGACGCAGTAACCTCATTAGCTCAATAGTCAGCTTTTGATAGCAGCCACGTCGACAACAAGTTTTGACTCGAAAAGCTCTGTAGTCCTCCTGGATTTTCACATCTGAAGTCCACCTTTCATACCTTGATTCTCTGGGTTTTGTCTAGATTAAAGGGTGTTGGCTTAAGTTTTCTATATCAATTTAGGCTTTCTATTAGTTTTTAGAACAAAGTTTATATTTAAGTTATCCGATTGCTGCATATATATCTCCTTATTAAAAGCAAAACATCCCTGACTCAAAAAACATTCTAAGTTTAGTCAGTGTGTACATAAGTTAAAAAATCTGCTTCATCTGGGAAATTTCACAAAATTGCTTCATCTAGATTAAGGCCAGCTACAAGTATAAAGGCTTTCAAACCTTTTCACAGGGGACATTGTTCTCTTTTTCGGAATCAGAATTGTAGAATTCCTCGTATATTGTTTCATCTTCCTGAAATATAATGTACAATAAATAATATTAAGAGCAATGGAGCAACACAATGGAGTTGGTGGTGGAGACGTCCCACGATTTCCTGGCAGGATTAGTTTTTTAAATCGTCTGAATTGATGAGAAATGTGGAGAAAGTATAATTTGTGTTGTGTTTTCACTATTTTGAAACTACATTTATGTGGCCAAAAGTTAGTCATTGGTGTGCCATTTATTGAATGGGGCGTACCCTGTTCTTGGAAGGGGGTCTTCTGATTGTAATAGAGAATCGCCTAAAAACGTTTTGTTGCTTTGAGTTTTTAACTTGCCATAAGAAAAAGAATGGGAAACATAAAATCACTCACGCTAGATCCCGTGGAACACTGTTCATCCGTCTGTTCTAAGTTTAAGTCAATAAGCACATTTCTGAGCTTTGGCCTATGGTTGACTGCCTGCATAGAGAATCATCCGAAAATAAAAGTTATGCACTATAATTAATATTTTACCGCCTTGCACAGGGTTGGGCATTGAGAAAGTTGGGTGTTTGAAGTAGCCTTAGGACTTGTAACTTTGCTATTTATCTCGTTATCGGGGTTTGGAGGAAGCACTGAATTTGCTGATTGAGAAGCTATCGATATGTTACCAGAAATATTTGTGGCATTATATGGTATGAGTGCCATTTTGGCAATATGAAGCGGTATAGGGCAGAAAATAGAATAATATGATAATCTTGTATTCTTTTAGTAAGCCCTAAAAATCGCCTCTCGATCGAATGTGTTAAAAAGATGACAAAATAATGTTAAAAAAGTTCTTAAAAAGACAATTGGTATCTTAAAAAAAGTTGCTGGTCGTGAAAACTGACGATCAAATGCTGACATGAATTCAGCTGTTCTGTGATTATACTGTTTTTTCAAGTAACTACTTGCACTCTGATTGGTCTAGAACAGCCTACACTCCTGTAAAGCATGTTACTTCCAGGAACGAGTCGTGTGAAGTCTTAAAGTGTGAAATTATCAGTGTCTGTGAAATCAGTCTGCCAGCTGATTCCAAGCAAATCAAAGGATACAAATTGGTTCAAATGAAAGTCATGAATGTAATAAAGAGAAGAGAAGGGTCGAAATATGATCAGGGTAACTGCAAAAACTACCAGAAATTGATTGACGGGGGCTCAACGGAGAGTTACATAGAAATAATAAAAATAGCAACGCCATATCTGTCTACTTACTTGAGAGAGAGCTTCCTCAAAGCTTTCTTCTTCGGAATTAACTATTTGTGACATCATGTCATGCGGCAGTTTAGAACTAAAATTTAGAAAACGTGTCTTTTACTGTTGCTAAGGTAGAAAACTCTTGAAAAAATAAGGCGAAATAGTTTAAAACTTTACAAAACTACAGTAGAATCGTCTTACCTGAAATGGTGTGATTAATAAGCGGCCAAATACCCCTTTTCCTAATCTCGAAGATGAAGTTGCAGGTCATCTATTTTCAATGCCTTTCGACTTGATGCTTCATCGCGAATGTGCACATATAAAGAAGTCCCGCCAAATATAAAACATATTTCGCGCCAAATCCTGCATCTTGCATATTGACTGGTCGAAACAGACGTATCCGTTCTCCGATTTAGTTCCTATTGGATGTTCTGAAAAGCAGATCTTTCATTGGAAGAGCCAAACCGCGCATTTTGGGGAAAGACAGTTGATTGGGTAATGGGAATTCTGTTCACATATGGACAGAATTTTCTTCTCCTAGACAGAAATTTTTTTTCTGCTGGACAGAATTTTTTTCTTCTGCTCAGCTGATTGGTCAAGACATAAAGAAATCAAACAGTACCCGCAAACAAACAGCATCCGCCATGACTCAACATTGCTGTCACAGTTGCGTTGACTAACTTTCACACCCAAGCACACACTGGTTGCAATGGCCTGATACTGATATCATTCATGGCCCATCTTCTTTGAAGTTCAGGGTACGGCCCAACTTTATGTTCAGACGATTGAGCGTCTAGTTGTGACAGAATATTGCACATGAATATAGTATCTTTAAATCAAATGGAAGATTGCGATTATTTTTGCTAGTGAGAGGGGGAGCCTGCTACCAAAATCTGTGAAGTACTTAACCAACTCAAGCCCCTAAATCTGCCCAACCATGAGAAGAAACAGATACAAAACAAAATTTGAATGAGAAATCCCCATTCCTGGGTAGTCAAACGCTGTTATCGTCATTTTAATCAATTAATAGAGAATATGATATGAAAGGAAGTGAGCGGAAGTTTGAGCCATTCTACTGCAGACAGAATCTGTCCAAAGCGGACAGAATCAGTCTGTGGGAAGCGGGAAATTTCTAAGTGAGAATAATACAACCAGCTTCAAATTTTTATTTCATACGCAAAGCAAGCCATCACGGGGTAAATCGGTCTGTTACAGACAGAATCTGTCCATAGCGGACAGAATCAGTCTGTGGGAAGCGGGAAATTTCTAAGTGAGAATAATACAACCAGCTTCAAATTTTTATTTCATACGCAAAGCAAGCCATCACGGGGTAAATCGGTCTGTTGCAGACAGAATCTGTCCATAGCGGACAGAATCAGTCTGTGGGAAGCGGGAAATTTCTAAGTGAGAATAATACAACCAGCTTCAAATTTTTATTTCATACGCAAAGCAAGCCATCACGGGGTAAATCGGTCTGTTGCAGACAGAATCTGTCCATAGCGGACAGAATCAGTCTGTGGGAAGCGAGAAATTTCTAAGTGAGAATAATACAACCAGCTTCAAATTTTTATTTCATACGCAAAGCAAGCCATCACGGGGTAAATCGGTCTGTTGCAGACAGAATCTGTCCATAGCGGACAGAATCAGTCTGTGGGAAGCGAGAAATTTCTAAGTGAGAATAATACAACCAGCTTCAAATTTTTATTTCATACGCAAAGCAAGCCATCACGGGGTAAATCGGTCTGTTACAGACAGAATCTGTCCATAGCGGACAGAATCAGTCTGTGGGAAGCGGGAAATTTCTAAGTGAGAATAATACAACCAGCTTCAAATTTTTATTTCATACGCAAAGCAAGCCATCACGGGGTAAATCGGTCTGTTACAGACAGAATCTGTCCATAGCGGACAGAATCAGTCTGTGGGAAGCTGGAAATTTCTAAGTGAGAATAATACAGCCAGCTTCACATTTTTATTTCATACGCAAAGCAAGCCATCACGGGGTGAATCGGTCTGTTGCAGACAGAATCTGTCCATAGCGGACAGAATCAGTCTGTGGGAAGCTGGAAATTTCTAAGTGAGAATAATACAACCAGCTTCACATTTTTATTTCATACGCAAAGCAAGCCATCACGGGGTGAATCGGTCTGTTACAGGCAGAATAAGATGGAAATAATTAGACACCTAAAAATCAGTTCAACTTAATGAAAGTGCTAGTTAACGAGATTTTATTATATTGCCCTTTTATGTACCAAAAGATCACAAGTTATATTTATGGCATAGGGTCCATCAGTTATCGGAAGGATCCTAGCGTATATAAAAAGTTCAATGAAACAACAAATAACCCACCCCACCCCCCCCCCCCACTGCGCGGAGTACGTCAGTATATGCAAGTATGAGCTGAGTCATTGAATAGCCGAGTTCTCAAGATAATACATCAATGGGGGTGTTACTGCCTAGGTTGAGCAATGTCACCATGATATACGTAGACGCAGCAGTATGTACAAACAGAAATGACCAAGCCGGTAAAGCGGACAAGTAGGATGATGTAAAAATAGATTAAAGTGAACCTGCGCGTAGCGGTATTACAACCAACACTGTTAGTCATAAACATGAGTCAAAAATGCGAGTCATCGAATTACCCAATGTTACTAATCACGCGACTTTCACTTAATGCCAAAAAAGGTCATGCTTGTCAGTGTCCGAATACGCACCTAGCAAAAGAGAACTAATAAAAGTGGGTAAAAATGCTTCAACTTTCATTCGTGTCTTTACGTATACGCGATTACTCCAGAAGTATTTGGAAATATAATGGCACAAAATAAAAAATTTTTATTAGCAAGTGGTAAGATCTATAACATGTCTTCTGATGAACGCAGGGAAGAGAAAGATAGCGATTGTGACGAGTTTTCAGAAGTTTTGGAATATCTTCCACAGTGTCATTCTTTGACCTGGGCAGACGCTGAATCGAGCGAGACACTTCCAGGGGCATCAGCACGCTTACAGCATCCATCTGTTTTTGGTCCGGGACAAATACCAATTCAACCCCGTGAGAAAGATACGCATGTTAGCAGTGTTGCTAATAAACGAAAGTTCACAATTTCAGAACATATAGTACGGGCGCGAAATGTTCTAACAGAGCTTTATCCAAGAATTCGCGGCATAAGCTTGGTAGAGGCTGCAGCCGACCTGCTGACGAGTAGGGAGAAGGCGGTTTTTAGGAAAAAGCTCCAAGAATCAGGCATGGAAAATGAGGTAAGTTGAATACATTATTCAGAGGGGTCTTTGCTTTTCGTGCCTAAAGAAGTAAAAATTGTAAAATACCGAAAATGACACCCTGTTTTCGAAGAAAACTTTATCTTAGGGATATTAATCGAAAAATAGATAAACTTTGTGATTTTAAACTATTTTTACAAAAAACTATACTGATATATTCTGATCTAGCAGTTTGAAGATCGATATATAGATTTTTATTTAATTAAGTTCAACATCCAGTTTTAATTCTAAAATTTAATTTTTTACAGAACTTTCGATACAAAGAAATCTGCAAGTTGGCTGCGGTAAGTCAACGTTGCTTCGCACAAATAATGAAAATCGACGAGCAGCTGCAGAATGGGGAAATGAAGAAGAGCACGTCTGCCCAAAAAATTTCCCTATCCACTTTCGATTTTCTCCAAGGAGAGAAAGAGGACGAGCAGTATCGTCTGTTGAGTGCAATTGTGAATGGCGAGGCAACGCTGAAGCACCTAAATGCAGAAAAAAGGCAGCGGAGACGACGAGTAGCAACAGAACAGCCCTCAACAGCTGTAGGTTTTGCAAATATTTCATTATTTTATCTAAACTGTTGGATCAAATTTTAGCTCATACGTTGAAAATATTGGTCAATTCTGGGTGTGCAGCAGGTTTTTTAGGTCGCACTCTCTTGGCCCCTTCCAATATATTCAGGGACTGCAGAACGGAGATTACTGAAAAGGCTTAGCCAAAAAAGTTCCAAAATGTATGTAAAACCATAAAATTAATTGCCTTGTTTTCGGTTGTAAGCATGTTAACCACCATCACACCTTCCCCCCAGAAAAGACTATCAGCTCCTTGGTTGTTAATTTGCTCCGTTTTCCTGAATGAAGTCACTTTTGTGATAATATGTGCTGACAAGCTGAATAATAGTTTTTATTTACTAAAAATATTTGATTATACCATCGATTTCATGCTTTCTTCAAATGAGTTACGTTGAATCAAGTTCTATTAGAATTATTTATGATAGGCTGTTTTCATATAGTTTGACCAGTTTTGATATCACAGAAATAATCTTTATTGTCGACTGTGAATTGCGATGAATCACAACAAAGTACTTATATGAAAACCAGCCTTTACAGTTCTTTTAAAAATACATGTTAGTGACAAGAATTTCCTAAATACTCTGTGAAATCAACATCATATCTTTCGAGGTGCAAATCACTCCAAGAAAATCTCGTATATCTTTTGTGAAAATCCTATTGTTTTATCTGAAAAATCCCCGGAAATCCTTCTGCTTTAGGGAAAATCTCGTACGGTATTTGCAAGAGTGAAATGCCCCTCAATGTCTTTAACCTTTCACTACTGATATCCTTAAAAAATATCCTCACATTTAGACAACATCTTCATCTGCCGAGGGTGATATGGACGCCATGACTTTTAATTCAAAGCGCTGGAAAGCTTCCGAATTTTCTGAACTAAATGATCAGGTATGTTGTGATAATAAATTCTTCCTTAACTTTATTTGGTCATTTATAGACTCTTAAAAACTCTAAATGTGATTTAGAGTGGAATATAGGCTTGATTATATATTGAATTTCTTAGAAAATAGTAGAACCGAAGAATTTCGGTACCAATTGATAAAAAGGCACTTCTTTTAGGTCCGTCGATTGAAAGGATATATCAAGACAATGAAGGCTGAGCTAAATGACGCAGAAGAAGAGATCAGAAAGGTGAGTGATCTGTTCATATATTTCAAGATAGCATAAGACTTCAAAATATGAGTTACGTCGAGACAGCAACGTCAATACAATCTAGACAAAGGTTTCATATTTTAGATAAAGTGAACGCGATGCCATCAAACAGCGCTTTTTGATTTTTTTGATAAGCCACCATCTTAATTTTCCTGTTCTGCAATAATTTTCCTGTTCTAGAATCGTGACAGTGTTGTTGTACTGTTCGATCATTCACTGGCATTCTAATAAGTTGAAGTATTATGCTGAAAGGAAGCATTAAATTCCTGTTTTGTAGTCTTCCCATTTTGAGTAGCATATTTGGGTTGGACCTGGATCAAAGATCTTTGATCTAGCAATATGTATCTTGGAGATTGTGAGTGGTTAATTAAAATAATTGTTTCGTATTTTTCCTGTAGAATCAACGTACTATTTTCAATTTGGAGGAAGAGGTGACAAATGTTTATGATGCCCTCAAAAGTAGAAGGACTCATTTTGATGAGGTATGCTCTCTTTTTCGAACTAAACGCTGCCTGTTTCAGTGGCAGCGCCAGCCACAAGGTTCTGGGGGAACAAACAAAAAATTTAGGCCACGTCCTATTTACAGCCCAAAATGTACTTTTATCAAAAAGAACGCAAATTTTACCTGCAGGAACGCCTATTACTAACTTTTGGTTACATAAGAGCTTCAAAATCGAAGGATTGCAACAAAATAAGTAAATTGCTAAATATTAGCCCTCCCTAACCTTTCCTCGAGAATTTAGACGAAATACAAAATTCATCATGCCAAGAACTGGGAGGCGTGTCCCCCAGTACCCCCCTCCCCCCATCTGTGGCGCCGCTACTGGCCTGTTCAATGTCTGATTTGTATAATTTTTAGTAGAATATGATGAAAATTAAAATTTCCATTATATTTCAGTATAGAATTAATGTCGAAAGGCGTTTACAAGCCAAAGACAAAACCATAGCGGAACTCCAGTCTCAGCTCTCCAGCTTGACAGAAGACTGCAGTTCAAACCTGTTCAACAGCAGGCTATTAGAGACAAATGAGGTTAGAAACAAGTCGATAATCTTACCTTGACCTACCAATAGTGGGAGGGAGGGAGCTGAATCAATGTGTGTAAAACGAAGTTGTAATACATTATCAAATATGTTGAAGCTTCAAAGTTGATTCCAATTAAATCAACTGTCAATTCTAAGGGATGCACGAAGTACAAGATACTTATGATATTTTGTGTCACAGGGCACTTTTGCCAGCCTTGATAAGACTGATGATGAGTGCCCTACCCATTTATATGATTCCTACGTTTCTAGCCATACGATTCCAACTGATGAGCAAACGTTGATGCAAATTAAACTTAACTCTTGTCGAAATCCCTCCTAGTTCAAATCTTTTGATTAAGTTAAATGTTGGTTTTTTAGATGTATAATTCAACTCCAGAGCCCAAAAAACTAGAAGAGGGCAACAGAAAATATACGAAAAGCGCTTTAAAGGTGCGTTGCTGGTTTAATTCTTCAAAATTTTGGCAAAAGACTCTCACTCTCGGTATCAGACTGTTAGTGAAAGAATTGGTCGGCGAATACCTAAGAATACCTAATTGTAATACCTATATAAGTATAAGAATACCTAATTTTTTGTCGAGCCTCAATATTATGTAAATTCGTCTTAAGATCAAGAAAAATATTAAATTTTTTTTTGATGTGTTGCTTCATTATAATTTTCAGCAAGTGATATTAAATGCTTTGGGAGAAAATTCCAGATTAAGGAAAAATTTTAGTCTTGATGAAAGTTGAGCAATTTTGAGCCTTAATATTCTTATATACTTTATTCTTATAAAAAAGTGCCTATTCTTGGTAAAGTATATATACCAAAATAGCAAAAGCTGTGCGAAGGGGCGAGGATATGGGGGGCGGGAGATGCAAAAATGCAGCTGTCCTTACAATTATCAGTAAGATCTACTGTTGCTAAATGATACCCAAACTCTTTCAATTACATCTATACACTCTACTTGAAAATTTCAGTTCAAATTTTACTTTTTATGTTGAATGTGCACATCAAGTTAATATCTAAATTAAGAATTGATTGCCGTAATCTCCTATATGAACGTTTTGATTTTCAGGCCCTACCTTTCACTGACATCCTGGGAGAGAATTCGGCATCAACGGATGCAAGCGAGATGACGAGCAGGGTAAGCATTATTCCAGGGCTGCAGCCCTTTGTTAATCAATCGTTTATTTGTCAGTATCCTCCTCCTTCCAATCCCCCGAATAAAGAAATTAGTTCCGTCAACAAATGTTTTATATCGTATGTTTTTGAATTTTTAAACTTATTATAGAATTTGGCATTTCAGAAAAAGAAATCTTTGGCTACTGTGTCTACGACAGCAATAGAGGACGACTTCGAGGCTTACGTAGCTGGATCGGCAGAACTCGAAAGTTCATTCGCGGAGTCAGAAGGAGATTTGTGTGAAGAATCGGCTGCACAAGGTTTTGAGCTGCTACAGTCCCTGTCATTTGACTATGAAAGCGACTCAGAACCCTCAAATGACCGAAAAGACAAAGTACGATTTTTCGTTATCTTTCTTTCAAATTTGCAATATCTTCTTCCCGATGACTTCAAAAATTGTACTATGCAAGACAACTATGAGTTTTTATTTTCAAAAGATAAAATGCTAATGTACTTGACATTCAAACTACATTTTTTCCAATTCTTACTGCAAAAATTACAGCATAAACATATACTAGAAAGTAAGTCGCCCCAGTTACGTCTCTCATAGCGTTTAGAAAGTTAACTGTTCTATCTTTCGTAGATGATCCTGAAACATGATGACTTTGTGGCGTACACCTGCCTTACAAACACCTTTTACCTTGGTCGTGTCGTTCTTGGTGTGCCTGAAGTAGCCGAGGACCAAGTAGCAGTTATATATGCCACTGCAAGGCCCAACAATATGTTTGATTTTAACAAAAAGAAAACTGATGTAATAAAAAAACAACAAATTTTCAAGTGGGGCTCTGCACTAAAAACAGAGTTTGTCAAATGTGGAGTGTGGAGGGTGGACAGAGCATCACTTGAAAAGGACCATCAAATTGCGGTGAAGATCCTTCGTGAAAAGGATGATTTTTCCCTAGATTGAGTTGTCGTTTACAATCATCAAACCCAAGGGCCACTCAAATTTACAACAAAAATGTACGGAAAGGGTCATTACAGCAAAGTTCAGCCCTTAAATATAGGTTTCTACGAGTTTCTTTCTACCAAATGACAAAAAATTAGCCGATTAACAAATTATCTTTATCTTTAAATGGTTTTATCAGTTTCGAGAATGAAGAAAAGATTAGAGTTGTTCAACCTAGTACCTAACAGAATAAGATTAGATTTCTCAAAATTTATATCATCACAATTTCTATCGCGAATGAAAAAATTATGCAAAAAATTGCCAGTCGCAACAAGACACAGAAACAAAAAGTTTCTTGAAGTGATAACACAGTAGCAAGATAAAAAAGTAGTTCTATTATTTTATCTTGGCGGTAGGGATTATTAAAGTTTCTAAATTGCTCAGAACCTTTATTAACAGGTTAGTTTTAGTGAGTTTTCTCAGTAGAAATATAAAAAAGCTGTCATTTAATTTCTGTAACGGTTACACCCATCAACATAGTACTTCTGCCCAAATTAAATGCTCGGCTCTTTTAACTAAGATCGAAGACAACAGGCCCCTGAAAGAGTTTCTCATCGTAAATGCCGTATCCCTTTCTGGCCTGCCCCCGAACTTTAATCTTCTCTAACAAACGCGTACCAGTGTATGACTGTTATGTAAACAATCTGGATAAAACGGGTATTCAAAGAAAGAAAATATTAAATGTACCCCCAATAATTGTAAAGGTGTACTGTGTTTCCTTATTTCCTATACAGTACATAATATTTTTAATTAATCATTTCGCTACTTACAAAAAATCCTGTCCCCGAGCCTCTATTTTCGCTATAATTTCAACATAAGTTGAAGATAAAGAATTCAACATTGTAAATCTGGTCGACGTTTGTTTTGAAAAAAACTTTAATGGCTTGGCTGTCCGTTTTTGTCGAGCCCGGTTGTCGAGCGGTTTTACCGTAAGATTTTATGGAATTTGTTATGTAACTAGCTTTGTATTTTATCGTGTAGGCTTTTTGCTGTCATTGGAATCCGATTGTCAACGATTATGAAAGTAGAGAATGGTTTACTTTGTACATTTGTACTAATTTGAAACAATGATTAAAGCGCAGAGCTAGCAGCGAAGTACATGTCTATTGTCTTTCTTGCATAGTTTTGAATTCCTTCAGACCACATGCGGATTGATGCTGGTAATAGTCCTTGTGTAAATATAATTTGACAACCAAACAAGGTGTTAATGTGTAATTCGGATCCCTGTGGCGGGCTATATGTCCATAATGAAAAACTGTAACCTGATTGGCCAATACCCCATATTCTGTCTATGAGGTTCTGTCTGTGAATATATCAGACAGATTATGTCTATGTCCGTATTGCAAGTGACAACTCCGGATTACAAATGCACTCTGTTAATATTCTGTTGACAAAGCTTGAATATTATGGAATTAGAAGAACTGCCTTAGATTGGTTTAGATCTTATCTCATGTATAGGAAACAGTATGTATCAGTAAATGAATCAAACTCTAGTTACCTCAATGTCACATGTGGAGTCCCGCAGGGTTCAGTACTTGGTCCTCTCCTCTTCTTAGTTTACATTAATGATTTACCTCAATCATCATCAAAACTAGTCTTCTATCTATTTCAGATGATACAAATATTTACTTTGAAGCAGAGAATCTCAATCTTCTTCAACAAACAGTTAACAAAGAATTTAAAAAAGTTAAAATATGGCTTGATGTTAATGAATTGTCTTGAATATCGACAAGACATATTATATTATTTTCAAGTCACCTCAACATTTTTCCTCTGACATAATCAATATCAAAATCGGAAACCCTCTTGTAAAAAAGACTTGCTATGTCCAATTTCTTGGAGTTCTTTTGGATGAAAATTTTTAATGGAAGTATCATCTGACTGAACTGTCCAAAAAACTGGCTAGAACATGTGGTATGTTCCTCAAAGTAAGAAACTTGATTTGTTTTCTTTACAACTCTTTATTTTCACCCTTTTTGCATATGGAATTTTAGTCTGGGGTCTTACATATGAAACTTATATTAATTTGGTGTTCTTGTGTTCAGAAAAGGGTTATAAGGGCAATTTCCTTTGAACACTTTACTTCTCACTCCACCCTATCATTTCTGATTTGAAAATCCTAAAGCTGCATGATCTTTCTCAGGTAAGGTTTTGGCATTACTGTCAAAATCAGGAGTTTTATGCAGAATAAGAAACGATTTAAGATAAATTCATCCATAACATAACGATGATTACTACTTGAACAAAAAAATAAACAAAGGATATTCTGACAGCTCACAGCATGAAGGCGTGCAATGAAAACGGAAGTAAACATTGTTGTTTGTAACTAAACAATATCTCAATTTTTGTATGTTCTAACAATTACTTGAGATGCAATATGCAATTAATCTTTCATAGTTTGTAAAAGTGTACACATTCATACAATGAAACTGATGGAATGCAGGGTTATACCTCAAATTGTAAATACCCTTTTGTGTTACTTTTAAGACTGAGGTACTCTCAGAGAAGTTATTGCTTAGGTACAAAGAAGCAAACAAATCTGCTATTTTCCCTCTCAAGTTATCTTGTGAGCACCCAAGGCAAGGCTCTTGGAATTAAATTCCTGCTTTCCTTTGGAACAAAATTAGACCCAGACAAAAAGTACTTTATTATGTTGTAATAACACTTTTGTGCTGTTTACAAATTTTACAATGCCAAAGGTCTGTTGGTAATTATGATTCACTGTTTTCTAGTCTAAGTACCCAAAAGAAATGTGAGGCATGACATGTCTGCAATACATTGTTGTAGACCATGCCATGTCAATGTTGAATTACATGTAGATGAACTTTAGATTAATTTTGTTAGTTAAATTTTGTTTATTTGCCCAAAGTTTTTCAAATTCTCATTTTGATGCATTTTTAAAGGGCCAGGATTTGGATTTAAAAAGCAGTGACAGCTCAAAATGCCCAATTTTCTGTAGCACTTCTGGCCCAGTTTTAGAAAATGTATAGGTGTCAAGGGTTTCGTTTGATCTGAATCTGAAAATTGTATCCTAATGTTAGGAAAAACTGTCATTTTTCACAAATTTCCCGTTTCTTTTGTTTTTCACATCAAGTAAGCTAATGGCAATGTATTTCTAGACTGCTGAAATCATTGAATTATAGCTACCCCCAAAGTGTATTTTCCATCAAAAGAAGATCTGAGCTATCTTATGAATAATAACGATCAATTTAAGTAAATTATACCAGGAAAAATTAGAGCATAGCCAGTTACAGGCACGTTAATAATAGGGGGGCGTGGGGGGCGTAACGCCCCCCAAAGTTTGGAAAATCCAGTTACAGTTGGAAAACGTAACGGTTGACTTGGAATTTTTTTCTTAAGACCAAACTTGTGAATTTTATATTTTAAGAAGTTTTTTTATTTTAAATATAAAAATTCTAAACATTAAAATTCACAGGCTGATGCTGACCCATCCAATCGTTTTCTATTGTGAATCCCGTCTCCACTGGATCCAAATTGCACACTTGCCCCGTTTTCTTTTTCTTTCTTTCTGACGGGAGTTGAATCAAATTACGAACAGGCAAGGTGAACTTACGGATAAGAAACTTGAAACTTACAGTTTGGAATAATAATACTTGCATTGATCAGAAAATATTAGAGTGGGAATTTTTTTAGAAACTACGAGTAGTTAATTCAATAAAAGATTAAGAATCTTTCAGTACTAAAAATTCTCAACGCTTCTTATAAAAAACGAGTTTATGCTAAACTCCCCCTGTTATTTGTTAATGTCCTTGAGTCCTTATCATAAATTCCTATGACAAAACTGCTGTGGAGCAAGAACACATTGCAAAAACTGCAGTAGAAGTATTTGATCAAATAAGATTATTTCATCTTTCGAATCAGGCATATGCACAAGTTTGTTCTCAAATCATCATTTCAATTGTAAAGAATGAAAAGGCATTTGGCCCTCTGAAAAGTTTAAAGGTAGTTTTTTTCGATCAAGAACGAAAATAAAAGGCCCAAATTCTTGGTGTTTCTATATCGTGAAAAAATGTATTTTAGATAAAATTGATCAATTGATCTGAAAGAATACTACTAATCATTAAGTATATCTAATACTGGTTTTGCTTAAATGTTGCTTTACTTCTTACAGTATGTTTAATGTTTGTTTCATGTTAATCAAAATTTAGAGATTTAGGCTTTTATGCTTTAGGCTAATTATTGAGTAAAGATTTGGTAATTATAAAGAAAATAGAACTATGGTGCTCGGGCTATTTACAAATATCAATTTGGTAGGTACAACAGATCTACTGGTCGAATGAAAAATTTATCACTTGAACTTGGAATTTTCATACTTCCACGCCCCCCCAAAATTAGCAACTTGTTTTCGTCCCTGGCCAGTTATCAAGTAAAATTGAAAAGCGATGATAGAACTAAAAAACGTTAAAGGAATATGGAAGTCAACAAATGGAATAGGATGACGGATATAAGAGCATGGAAAATAAATATAAATAGAATGTAAGAGATATACAGATGTCTATGCAAAAGAGGGCAGAGAAGGGAAAAGATTTTTGCCAAGTAGAAAAATTAACAGTAACAAGGTATCTTGTGGTGATTTATAATTTGTACTTGGGTTCTCCTCTCACTTGAAACATTGGTCTGGGGTCATGTCTTATCTGTGTTGTAATCACTGCAGGCCTTGCACCTCAACTTGATCTACTGCTATCACTGCTGAAGGACCTGTTATTATGAGACAAACCATGCATTCTCACAGAGCCAGTTGCTTATTTGGGCAGGCTTGCTTACATTTTATAAACAGCTCTTGGATGTATTTACAAAAGTTCTGTCAGGAAAGACTAACTCTCTTTTTATTTTTATTTGCAGTTTTCTTACTCATTTATGTATTTCTTAAGGATATCTAAATGCAATTTCATCATTTTAGTTCTCTGCTTGTTTTTATATCTACAGGAATGCGATGGAAGCTTATGGGTCAAGGGCAACTGGTAAGTTTAATGTTAAAAAAAACTCTTTTCAATTTCTAGCTTTTACTATACTCCATAGTTTTGCGTAAGGTGTTAAGGTTTCCATGTCATTTTTCTTTAAAGTTTCTTTGTTTGTCGTTTTCAAATCTCACATAAAAACCAACAAATAATAGTATTTGTCTTATCATCAATATAAAGCTAAGAATTCGAGAAATTGTTTGCAATCCATTGAAAATCTCAATTTCTCATTGAACGAACGCGATCCTCGCCACTGACCCACCCTTGTGCCTAAATTAAAATTTTACATGTGCTACCAAATTTAAACAAGTTTTACAGCTATTTCACTTATCTATATGTGGCTCTGTTCATTGTAAAGCAAACTAAGCCGCAAATGAGTATCTTTCTGGTGTCAAAGAACCTCAAGATTGTTCATAAAAGCATCATCCTTCTTACCATGACACTCAACAGAGAACAGCTCATCGTTTCAATTCACGAACAGCCAAGGCTTAAAAGTTAATAAATCTCACAGTTGTATGGTGGTCATACGCCGAAATTTATACCGAGTGGGTCAATCCTAAAATAGGCTGTAGTAGATGGAGCTTTAAATAAAAACGAATATCCTTTTTATTACAGTTACCTTTATTTTTATTAGATATTGATAGCTCATGATTCGACTGGTCATGTCCCCGGTGTTATCGAAGCGCCAATTCAATTTGTCTTCGCTTCTAAACTAGAGAAACTTCCATGTTACCATATGCTAGAGGAAATCAATTTTTTAGCTGTTTAGAGTCATTTTATTTTTTTGTACAGTAGAAATTGATGAAAATGCTAAGAGGGATGGCCAAAAAACCGATGACACAAATGATGATACTGATGAAGACGAACAACAAATGAGAAATTACAAAAAACAGACTGAACATGAGACACAACAACGTATCGAAGACAATCATGGAAGTGAAGATGATGTTGATGTAGAGAAAGAAGAGGAAGAGGAAGAAGAAAATAACGAAGAAGAGGTAGAAGAAGAGGAAGGTAGGTTTTCAATAGGCCAAAAAGAAGTTGAGTTGAAATAGTTATGTTAAGTGCCTTGAATTTTATTTTAGACAATTTTGAGAAACTTTGTGTTTTTTGTTAGAAGATAAAGAGGAAGAAGAGGAGCAAGATAATGCTGAAGAGAATAAAGAAGAAGAAGAAGAAGAAGAAGAAGAAGAAGAAGCAGAAAATGCCAACGATGGTGATGAAGTTGACGAAGAAAAGGAGGCTGATGATTCTTGGTGGTATGATAGAAGCGGTGCTGGTGAGATGAAAGGCAAAATACTTGATGGCCAAATTGACATGGAAATTCCTTCTCAATTCAAACTTGTGCGAATATTTACAAGCTCAACATTCACCGGTAAGTTTATGCGAACAAGTCCTATCGTTTGTTGATTTATTGGTTCTGGTTCTTACATTTACCTTATTTTGGCATTTTTTGTTGAACCTGAGCTGAAAACTTTAGTTTAAGGACAAGCTTTTTTTAAATAAAACGTTTCTATTCATTTACAACAAATAAATTCTACTGGGGGTAACAATTTAAAAAGTTAAAAGGTTAGCACATTTGAATGGCATTTCTCGGGAAATGAGATGTGTTTCCTCCGGAAGAACAGCTGCCTGACTGAATATGTTCGCACTTATTTCTTCTGAGCGTTTCATGACACAAGGGATTATTTCTAGTACCAAGAATGATGAACCAACAGGCTGTCCACCAACAACAAACACCCCTGGGGTGAACGAAACTATATATTATGCATTGTAAGTAAATATATGCCAATCATCAGTATATTTCTTGCAGATACTTTCATAGAAAGAAACAGTCTAATGGAAAGAGTTTATCCGAAGCTGAAAGAGTACTGCCAATCACACGGCTATGATTTCCAGGTCGTTGATATGCGTTGGGGTGTGCGAGATGAGGCAACAGATGATCACATGACCAGCGAGCTTTGTATGAGGGAGCTTAGAGCCTGCCAGAAGTTTTCCGTCGGTCCGAATTTTATTGTAAGTGCTTTGCAGCTTCAATGCCTTTTCGCTAGGCACCGTGTAAGGCCCCGCTCTAAGCGATAAATGGAAAGCATATATTATGTTTCTTGTAGATATTAACGAGGTCTTCCGTTTTTTAACTTGCTTGCTTTATCATAGCACTTTCAAGGAAGATTTTTATTACATAACTTCATTGCCTTAATCGGCCAGTATGTCCACAGACAACTTACATCGAACAAGTCGCATTAGACGTTCGTCTTTTAACACTGCTATCTGTTTGGATTTGAACTCAGAAATGACCACTACAACGACCTTTACAATATATCTGAGAAAAATGTTGTAAGATCCAACAGATATTTGCCAAGAGGATAAGTCTAAATTCTTATTGAAGTGAGATTTCAACAAGGGTTTTTGCTATAAATTGAAACTAAATTTTATAATTTTGATAACTTTAATTTTGTTCAAACTTCTTTGCTACAATATCTTTTTTGATAGACGTTTTTAGGCCAAAAATATGGCTACCGACCGTTCCCGCCGAAAATAACCCAAAACGAATTCGAGGCTATGCTTGCAAAAGTTGAAAAAGATGCTGAGAAGGAGCTCCTCACTAAGTGGTTTGTCAAGGATGAGAACATAGTTCCAGCGATGTATATTTTGCAGCCAATCAGAAGTATACTACCAAATTACAACAATAGGGATGTAAGTGCGGAGGAGAGATCCAAGGCGTCCAGTGAGTGGTGGTCAGTGTTCGAAGCAATGCAATTGATCCTTCGTGAGGCATCTAAGAAAGCGCTAAAAGATCAAGAAGAGATTGACAAATATTGCATCTCAGGTATTTGTTTGAGGGTTTTTAAACAGTATAATAACTTGTAATTCTCTTTAATATGATAAAAAGGTTTGAGAGTTTTTTATGCTGAAGCTCTCAAGGGGAGCATGGATTCTTAACTCACATTTGCCAACTGTGGAGGGCTGTTGTAGTATTTTCCAGGTGTCGTTGTATTCCACATAGTTTGTAAGCTTTGTCGAAAGACTGTCCTAAATTGGTTTGTCTTGCTGTGAACCTGAAGGTTCGAGAGAGATTTTGCACTATATATTTGCATTTGCATAGCATTTGCATGGCATTGCAATAGCAATATAGATTGTGAACAATATGACCCATCTTGAAATCTCGTGTGTGTGTATGTTTATAATACATAACCGTTTGCTAGCCAACCAACTTTAAGTAGAGTCATTAATACCGTGTCTCTTCAGTCAAATGTTCTGTGGCGTATTTACTATTGAGAATTCAGTAAGAATACAGCCTCAGTCCCGCTTTGCTGATTGGGAAATTTAGCATAGCCAATTGTATAGAGGAATCAATGGGAATTCAGGCGACCACTGAAATTTATCTAGTGATGATGACAAGCGTGTCATCGAACGGTTTCGACTGATTGATGTTATTTGAAGAAGGAAAACTAAACTTGCGATATTCATAAGCAAGTTATTAAAAGAAGTTTTGTTGATAATAATCAAAGCAAAGAGTTTCCCTTTTTGAAGTGATGCCTTTAAGCGTTGTTGCGTCTTCACTTTATAATATCAATGTTAAAAGTTATATGGTGATATCATCTTTTAATCAATTTAACCTTTTTCACTTCACCAGTCACTGAAGATGAAATAAGACGGGGAATACTGAGAGTTAAAAACAAAAAGAAGCATTGCTATTGGTTCAAGCGCAACATAACTGACATGAAGAGCAATTTGGACAAAGGGAAGGCGCGAATGTTCATTGACAAGACCCCAAGTGGCCTTGACGAAGAGGCGGTTGCATTGCTTGATAAGCTCAAGGGAAAATTGCTGAAAGATCTCCCAGAGTCTAATGTAACCGAGTATGACGTGGAATGGTGCGGAGAAGCCGGAATAAACCCAAAAGAGAGCGATAAACAGAAGACCTACGTTGATAAGTTATGCAAAGATTTCTATGACACATTGGTTGGTATGATAAATGAGGGAATTCAAGAAAAGAAAGAGGTAGTGTTCGACGGTGACCTTGTCAAGGAGGTTAGTCACCATGCCGCCACATGCCAGGATAAATCCCGTGTCTTCTTCGGAAGGGAGGCTGTTTTAGATGCCATCATCAAGCATGTTGATCAAAGTCAAGATGAACCTGATTATGAGAGCGAGGAAGGGACAAACAAGAGTGTCCTAGTCGTGCACGGGCCATCCGGATGTGGCAAAACATCGATTATGGCAGTCGCTGCCAAGAGGATCAAAGAGAAGTACCCAAGTGTGCCGATGATATTGAGGTTCATTGGAACAACGTCCGAGTCATCCAGTGTCAACAGGGTGTTGTATGGTATTTGTGAACAACTTTGTCATTTCGAAGGCCTGGGTACGTCGGACATACCCAAGGTAACGTCTTTGTTTTGTTTCATATCTCATTAGTTAAATCAGGGTTCCAATATTTTTTCCCACTTAAGACACCATTGGCTAGAACCTTCTTTTGATTGTTTCTTTGATCATTTTTAGCTTTAGGCAACACCTAAAATCACCACGGACAATCTGGGTTTTCTAGTAAAAGATGCCCAATAACATGTTTTAGTTGTTGTTTTTGATCTGCAAGTCTTAGGTGGCAACTGATGACATACTTGAACCCGGCCGTCATTGTATCTTGCAGTTTAAGAACCCATCTGCCAAAATGAAACAACCGATACTGTGTAGACAGAAGGAGTTCGTTTTCACTCTTCGAAGCCATTGGTAACATTTTCAATAGGCAAGCGGCACTGATAGGGCATCTTTTAAAATCGTGAACTCACGTTTCTAATTGGCCCATTTCAATCCACAGCTGGTTCTTAGTGTTTTTCAATCAATATTCTAACGTTTACTTCTTTGAAGAGTGTCTGGCCAACAGCTTAAGTTTTCAAATATGTGCTTTTTTCAAAGCCATTACTTATAAACTAATCCTGGCTTTTTCGCGCTGAGTTTTATTGAGTAAACGTTCTCTGTTCTTTTTAAACTTTTTATAGTTTATATGTTATTTATTGATGAACTGTGTCTTGAAACTGGGACGCTGATCAAATGGTGTTAATCTGGTAGCATACCTGAATCTCTGTCTGATTTATTAATAATCTATTACGAATACAGTTATCAATTCAAGGTATGTCCATTGAGGGCTGGTGTCACGCTTTTTTAAAGGTATCACATGTGCCATATTGACAAAATGTAATAGTTTCCTAATCTGTTTCATTTAATATATTGACAATCCACAATATGCGTGCTTTGATCAAAATTGTACTACGTTGTAATTTTTCTTGAACCTTTCTCTCTAGTCATTCAAAAAGATGGTAGAATTTTTTTCTGAGAAATTGAAAAGTATGGAAACAAAGCTGGTTATAATTCTGGATTCACTGGACCAGTTCTCTCCAGAAGATGGTGCTCTTGCCATGAAATGGCTCCCAAAGGAGATTTCTCACAATGTTGTCGTCATTTTGTCAACATTACCTGGAGAGGAATACAAGACATATCCTGCTTTAAAGGTAATGATCTTCTTGCTAAGCAGAAAAATAATAACAGTTCGAGTACATGACTTTCAGAAAACTGCCCAAAACATCATTCAGTTTTTACGATTGAATTGTTTTGGTTTCCTAGTTACACAGATTTTTTGCTGCACAATATTCTTAAGGCCTGTAGAAAATCTGTTTTTATACAATATTCTTCTAGGAAAAAAGAGTGTTTTCCTGGAAAAAAGATTGAACTGTTATGAGAAAAGTGACTGTGAAAAAGTAGAAGGAAGTGTTTCATGCGATGCCTTTTAATTTCGTTCTTGTTGGCGAAGCGCCTTTCCTTCCATGCCTTGATTGAAGTTGTGAATTTTTTCTTTTCGATAACTGTAACAGAGAGTTTTGAATACACCGAACGCAAAAAGCAAAGATCGCTTTAAGCACGTTTTACACAATGTTGTTAGTCCCTTCCCACCAAGCTTTTGCGGTCCCTGACGTGTAGCACGAACACGATGAAAGCCCATATTTCTTTGTAACAATTTATTTATTTTGCATCGAAATCAAGTAGGGATCCAGATTTGTGCAAGTATACTCCAACCAGCAATTTATTTGCTAATGGTGTTGCCGACGAATGAAATTCTGAATCTAAGCGATAAAATCTTCATTTTTTTTGCATGAACACCATTAATTTTTTATCTGAAATAATTGACTCAATTTACTCGATGTTGGGGAGAATATGAATGTTCATCTATGATTTTCATTGCTAGAATATGTTGCCTGAAAGTGCGTTTGTGGAGGTACCTGTTATGCCGGATAACACAGCAGGATTGATCCTTGATGCCTGGTTGAAGGATGCCCACCATACCATCACAGAGGAGCAAATGAAGATTGTCATGAAAGCATTTGATCAGTGTCCTTTGCCTTTATTTTTGAAACTGTCTTTCGATGAGGCTGTTCGTTGGAAATCATACTCCCCGAAGGCAGAAACAGTCCTTCAAAGCACTGTTAAAGAGTCTATTAATGGATTCTTTGCTAGACTCGAGAGACTGCATGGGTCTCAACTTGTCAGTCATGGCCTGGCCTACATTACAGTGGCAAAGAATGGTCTTAGCGATGCAGAGCTTGACGACATTCTCTCTATCGATGACGAAGTGCTGAACGACGTGTATCAGTACTGGACTCCACCAGTCAGAAGGGTACCACCGCTGTTATGGATTCGAGTCAAAACCGATCTCGGCTCCTACATCGTGTCAAGGGGTGCAGATGGTGTCCTAGTTAACAACTGGTACCATAGGCAGTTTATCGAAACTGCACATCAGCGCTACATCAAGCCCGAAAACGAGGCAAAGATTCATGCGATTTAGCTGAATATTTCCTCGGAAGGTGGTCTGGTGGAATGTTGAAGCCTTTTACGTCCAAACAAGGAGACAGTGACGAGAAGGATCGTCTTGTGCCAGCACAGCCGAATATTTTCCCAAAACAGGAGGACCAAGATAATGATGTTTATAACTATCGCAAACTCAACGAGCTACCATGGCATTTGATAAAATCACGAAATCTTGAGGCACTGAAGGATCATGTGATTTTTAACTTTGACTTTCTATCCGCGAAACTCTGTGCGTTCGGATTAAGGAGTCTGCTACAAGATTTAAATGAGACACTGGAAGTTTTTAAAGATGAAAAGGAAATAAAACTGCTTCGTGACACTATTCAGATGTCTGGTGAGGAATTACTAGGTGATCCACATCAACTGGCGTCACAATTAAACGCCAGGCTTGGTCACCTGACAGGCCATGAGAAGATCTCTGATCTGATCAACCAGTCTAGGAACGCCAATGTCCCTTGCTTGTACCCTACGGTTGCTTGCTTTGATAAGCCCGGAGGACCACTGATTCAGTCACTGGCCGGTCACACCTCTTCTGTGCAGTGGGTAACAGCGACAAAGGACTCCAAAAGGCTTCTCTCAGTAGCGCAAAATGACACTGTCAAGTACGTATGAAGAATCTTGATTAAGAGATGTTAGAGCCTTAATGCTATATAGTATTATTCTATTATCATTTCATAATGTTCTATCTTCAGTCACCCTCTCCTTATCGAAATGTATGTGCAGATGGACTATAATTTCAAACAGCTCGTCTTGTCTAAATTTAGTATGACAACTAATAAAATTTTTACCAGGTACAAGCTCGTGGGCCCTCTATCCTTCTTGAAGGCCTTCTTAAGTTGTGTTTTCCTCGCCATTTTTATTTTTGGTAGGTCAATATCAGTTTGGCAGAGTGAAATTCTATCAGACTTCCCCATATGTCTACAACAAACAGGCTTTTAAATGCTTAGTCTCTATATAGACCTTGACTCTTTCTTCAGGCTGCTCTAACTGCCTATGATGGCAAGAATTTTAATGTTATGATAGCTCATCTCACCTCTCCTTTGTATTTGTCATATACATGATCTTGTTGTCTCCCTTAAGAAAATTGAAATTTTATCTCTTTGCCGATTACACCAACATTTGCTATGATACGGAAACTCTTGATAAACTTGTTAAAACAGTTAATATTGAGCTTAAATTCGTAAGAAGATGGCTTGATGCCAATAGGCTATCATTGAACAAAGACAAAACTGATTATGTTATCTTCCATTCTACCTCATCGTCAATACCTCCAGACACTGTAATTAAAATAGGAAAAAACACATCACCAGAGTCAAATATGTTAAGTTTCTAGGTCTTCTGTTTGATGAAAACCCGAGTTGCAAGTATCATCTTGGCGAACTTTCCAAAAAATTGGCAAGAACGTGTGGCATTCTCTTCAGAATTCGGAATCTTCTTACATCTGACTCACTGATATGTATCTACAATGCTTTGTTCATGTCATTTCTACAATATGGCATCACTGTCTGGGGACAAACATATGACTCATACCTGGAGCCAATATTTAAGCTGCAAGAAAAGGGTGCCACAGCTATTTCTCATCAACCCTTTCGTTCTCCCTCTTTTCCCATTTTTAAGAAGCTCAAACCTCTCAGATTTCAAGACATTTTCCAGCTAAGACTATTAACATTTGTTTATGAATCTATAAACAAGAAAAATCTCTCTTGCTTTCATGATTACTTCTCTTTCAATTCCAATATTCACCCACACTCTACTAGGCAATCTAATCGCGGTAATTTGTTTTTTACTCATAGGAACAGTTTTCGGTATGCCCTGAAGTCTATTCGATAAATGGGGGCAAAAGTATGGAATGACATACCAGTAGAAATTAGAAATTCTCCTTCAAAATATTCTTTTAACAAAATCTTAAAATATTTTTCAAAACAACATTTTTCTGTGGAAGACTCAAAGCAACTTACAGATGATTTTTTTCACTTTTAAAAAACTAAAAATTAAGCAGAACGCATCTAATTTACTAGGGGGTGCTTTCTCCTCTATTAGTTTATAAACTACTGAGAAAGTTTCCTCCCAAATAATTCCCTGTTTACAATACCAGCTTGTTTCTCCTCTACTCTGTATTTGTTCTGTTACGTTTATATTATTTAACTTCCTTTTACATTGTTTATACTTCTAAGCTTGGATTATTTCTGATTTGCAACAAGTGCATGTATCCAGTGGAATTTAAAATAAAACTGAATTGAACTGAAATCCAACTTGCAGAAACTTTATACTGTTAGTGTGCATTTACATATTTTTGCTACTTTTTTATCCTGATATTCACGCTGTGTTCATAAAATCATGGTTCATTTTGGGCTTAACCAGTGTCACCTTTGCTTCATTAGGACCTGGGACCTCGAAAGTGGCACTGAATTGCGTTCTTATGAAGTTCCAAACTCTTTCACAGTGGCACGGTTTTACAATGATGACAAGGGAGTTATTTTGGCCGGCTTTTGTGGGTTTTTGGCAATGGATTTAGAGACAGAGGAGATAGCATATCACAATGAGTACCTTGTGGGACAGTATGGCACATGCATGGACATTGGAGCTTACGGGGCGAAAGTTGTTCATGCTGGAGCAAGCACTATATCTGTATTCGAAGTCAATGGCAAAGATGTCGTAAGTGGCATTTATTTTAAAAAAAGCTTTTCTAGTCAAGAAATTAAAACTTGAATTATAGCTGAATCGCTGCATATGATATTCATGGCTTTAAAGAATTATGTTCTAAACCAAGCGTCTTGGTCGGTGGACCCTGGGCTGTTCTTGTTCCACATGACAAGGAAACTCAGCCTGCTGTAGGGTATTACTTTTCCTACAGTGAGAACTTCCAAAGATCTTTCTTCTGGTTTTTAATTTAAGGATGTATATGTCTAATTTTCCGGAAGGTTATATCTTTTTAAAGTCAATCAGTAACTTCCTCTTGGTTTTTATGTCATGATTATGTGCCTGAAGAAAGATTGATAAACCTGACGGCTGTAGTATCCTGCAGCAATTTAGTGGTTAAGATACGTAACATTGAGTCTAATAATAAAGAAATATCCCGCTAACATTATTATCTCAATGATTATTGTTACGGCAATGATAACTTTGAATTTGAAACTGTAACTTAGATTTATGAAGAACTAACCCTCCACTTTGTTTAATCATCCTAGAAACCCTGCTGGTCATACGAAGAAACTGCAGCAACAACTGATACTGGATTTTATGACATCATAACTGCTGGTGGAAATTACTATGCGTATACAAGAGGAGATATGACAACGCTAACCGTGCGCAAATGCGACGATAAGGGCTTTAAAAAGAGTCTGAAATCCCCGTATGTGCTAATACATTATAAATTTAACGAGAACGGGAGTGAGTTGATAACATTGACAAGCAACTCAAAAATGCAAGACCAGTATAAGCAGGTTCGTAAGTTTCAAGTAACTATAAGAATTTAATATGATTTTGTTGTCTTTTATACCTAGATACAGGCTTATCAGATTAAGAAAGGGGAAAAGTAGGGTCAGCTTATGGTTATGAGCTGTGAAGGGCCTTGAAAAGTTTGGATAAGATCTTACATTTTAAGTTGGCTAAGTATAAATTGTACTTTCAAACGGTCAAATCTCCATGTATAACTTTAGTTGCTATCACAACTATATGGGACAACAAAAGAGGACTCTTTCAGGAGTTAAATCAACTGACCCGAACTGCATGAAAGCTGTTCGCCTGCATAAAGGCCTGTCCCAGTGCTATCACATTTGGGATTTTCAGTTCATTTGCAATTATCGCCTTGACTTTCGAATTGCTCATTCTCGCAAGACTGAACCAGTGGAGAAATTTATAACACTTTGCACTTTCAGAATACATTGGTCATAAGGTCACGCCCGTCGTCATCTTCATTATGAGTAGACAGAATTCAACTCTGCATTGATGTTACTTCGACTTTTACAATGTCCTTGAATGCTGTTTTAGTGATTTTTCGGTAGTAAGCCATTGAGACCATATGCTTCTTAATTACGTCACTTTATCTCTTATTTGGTTCTTCCATCCTTTTTCATTCTGCCAAACGCTGCTTAAGTTCAATCCTTTAGCCTGTTGCTCGCAGATTCTCGCAGCATCAATCTTGCTCGCTCCTTTTCTGAAACGTTTTTCAAGTTGTTATCAACAACTCAAGAATCCACAGCAACTTTTTCATTTTAAATATTTCCACCAAATCCTCATATTTTTCAAGCCTAGTTTTCGTTCCATACATCAGTACTGGTCAAGTGTATTTCTACAAAATATCGGATAGTTTTGTAACAGTGTTGCTGAATTATTACTTTCCAGTTAAAAGGTATTGTTACTCAAAAACTTCAAGCTTTAGCTCTTTATATTTTTTCCAAGTGAAGTTTTGTCAGCCAATCACCAACTGTTCTTGATGAGTACCCAATGTATTAACTTTTCTTCACTTCTTGAATAGGATCAATTATCTCTTGCATTTTAATGGTCTCTATCCTTCTCTTCACTACATCCACTGACATTTTTTTATTTCAAAGTCTGCGCATAGATTTTTGTCATTTCAGAACCTATCATGACGATCCATTATGAAATATGTCTGTTGACCGTTTAGTCGCTGATGCAGACTGCATTCTTGATCTGTTCCATTGTTGCTTTTTGGTTAAGTAGTACATGCCCCCAACCACCTTCCATATTGTAACCCTCTTTCTATGTTTCGTTCTTTTCTGCCATTTGCCGGTCGTTTCTTGCCAAACAAATTTCTAAAGCGAATTAGGCTGACTCGAGTTTCTTAAGTGCATTGTGAAATCGCCAGCGCAAACACTATTCTATCCATTTTTTCCTCCTTTGCCATAAACTGTAGGCTTTTCAAGGCACCACTCCATCTAATGTATGTAACACTTATAAACTTTATTTTGTTCCAATTTGTTTTCAACGACTTGTACGATTTTGTTCTGCAGCAGTTGTATTTCCCTATGGTACACCCTAGCAGTAGCTATTCAAGAAAATAAATTTGCATATTGTTTGACTTCCTAGCTGATTTTTTTAAACAAGGATTTTCATTTGGTTTCAGGTCAACTTAGTAATCTGGGACACATCATCATGGAATATTCTACAAGACATTCCAAGCAAATTTGATGCTACTATCATCAACGTTTACGATATGGATCTTGTGAAACTTGAAACAGGTTGGGAGGTCATCTGGCCTGTCATATTCCAAATCAACTTTTGGAACATCAATACTGGACATGAAAGAGTTGCTCTGAAATCTGTAAGTTGAATATGATTTTTAGATTTGTTTATCATTTAACTTGACATGCCATGATAACTTTAGAAATTCAATATGACCAGAAACGAATGGTAAGTTAATGACATTTTTTGTTGACGCTATAACAACATAATGAAAGTCATAAAAGTGCAAAAAAGAAAAAAACTCAAAATGAAGGCTACTATTTCGAAGGTGGTAGGGGGCATGGCACGACAAAGCACGACACAACACGAAATGATATGACATGACATGACATGACATGACATGACATGACATGACATGACATGACATGACATGACATGACATGACATGACATGACATGACATGACATGACACGACATAATTTTTTCACCATTTAAATAATCAAATTGACTATACAGGGTTACCAAGGCAATCAATATAAACAAGCAATCTCTCCTGATGGAAAGCAGCTGATCGTTGTCTCTATGGATACGAACCAAAGAGCGATTGATGTTTACGACCTAGATGCTGTGACATATATTGAGGGTGGAGACAAACATTTGTCTGCTATTGAAAAGACAAAGGCTTATGTTGGCGAAGGTCAGGATCATTTTTGTTTAGATGTCTTGTTGTTACTGCGACAAGTCTGTATCTAGACTCTAGAGTTTAATTGTTTTGTCTTTTGATGTTGGGGAGCTCGGTCAAAAAATTAGCTGTTTCCAGGTTATACTGTTTTTTGAGTGAGAATCATTGGCAGGTCTAAAGAAAACTTTAGATGAGATGCAAACGTCAACGTGTCAGACGTGAAATGAAAGATTGATTTAAAGGCCATCAAGTAATTTTCTGTAATTGTTTTTTGCATGATAGTTGCTGGTAACTGAAGACGTATTAATTGGGGTCTTAACGACCTTGAAGGCTTGATATGTTTAGAATAAAAATGCATTTATTTCTATTGCATGTGTATGTAGCAATATTTGATAAGGTAACAGAATGTACCTGAAGTCAGACCCAACCCTGTCGGCTTGCATGTAGTTTTGCATCAAAGACTAAAGCAATTATTGCGACCACTTCTTCGTTAAACTTGCCCAAAACACTGTTCCAATCGTTTCAGGGGAAAGAGATGCATTCCTGGCAGAAGGTAACGAAAACATTGCTTTATCAATACCCCCGGCGGAAGGTGTTGTAACTATCTGGGATTTGCTGTACCGAGATAGACTGCGACGGGTGAGAATCGAAGGAATCTTCCCGTCTGCTATGACGTACATAAACGAGAAATACATGGCAATTTGGGATTACAACACGAGGAAGATATATCTTATAGATTATATAGAAGAGAAAGTTGAGGCTACAAGCCCACTCAAAGTCTGTGAGCTGGCTCCTACCACAGGCTATTCAAATACGTGGCAATACTTGGGTAACTACGAATTTATTGTTGTATCTGAAGACGGGAAAGATCTAAATCGTTACAACTTAAAAACTGGAAAAGTGATTGCTACAATCAAGACAGGAGAGTCGAAAGAGATCAGCAACATGCTGGTAAGACGTGTTACGCTTTAAATAAACTGTATTTTGCACCTTGACTCATAGATTGTAGTTTTGCACCATATACTTAGGTTTTTAACACAAAACTGGTATTTGGCTAGCAAAACATTGATGGCGTCTGGAAAAAGTTACTATTACGGTGGCTCTGATAAATAAAAAGCGGGTTGTTGAGAGAATAAAACCAACGAAAGAATAACGAAGGGATAATGTAACTTTTCAACGTAAAATATTTTGCAGCGAATCAGCCTCTCAAGAGTGGGACCAAGGCCTAACAAGAAATTGTGGACTCTCACATTTTGAAACTCTCTTATACGATTTGATTCAGAAATGTGTAGTTAAATAATGCAGATTCTAGTGTTTTTAGTTAAACCTTAGGGATTCTTCCATCAATTGCAGGTGAGCCACGATAAATCTGTTGCCTTGCTTGCTTTGAAAGACTACGAATCAACAACGGTACCCGCGATCTGTATCGACTTAGATGCCAACAAAAAGCTATCAAAGATTACAGTTGAAGGTCAAAGAGTTGATTTGCGTCCAGAAGCCATCGCATTGGCTCCTGACGGGAAAACAGTAGTTCTGTCCATCGTAAGTAGTGAAGCATTTCGTCCTAAGAAATATCATTCTTCTCTTTGCTGTATTACAATGGATATTTTGCACGCACAAGAGATGATTTTTATCGGTTCCATAGTGTCACATTTCGGTTCCATGGTAAAGTGAATGTTTATTTCTTGATATTTTGGAATACTCTTAAGTGTCCTCTGATTATACTGCATATCTAAAACCGCTGCAGACTGAGTTAAGGATAATGTGAGCAAGGAATGTGAGAAGCTTTTCAAAATGTGTTGGCACGATTAGGAAGGAAAACTACGTCCCAGAAAAAAGCAACTTTTCCATGCGTTCTCAAGATGGCACTTCTCAAAAAAGGAGACGCTTTCCTAGAGGTTGGGGACATTTTTTTCCTGGTTCCCTCGGCTCTGACGTATCTAAATGCGAGGGTGGTCACCTAAATGGTACTTACAGATTCATAGCTAGAACGTTCAAACAACACGAAGAAAACATGAGATCAGTGAATGGATAGGGTCATGTTAATGCTTTATTGTATTTTAGCCGACATAGAAACATTGCTATTAATTAGATGCAGGCTTGACTATGGGCCAGTTGTATTACATTTACATTTGAGTCTCTGCTATGCGATGTCAAACTAACTGGCTCATTGCATTCTTAGAACCCTCTTATGAATGACTGGGTTTGATACTTTTTAAACTAATTTAATATTGTTTGAAGTAAATAAATGTGCAGGGACTGCGAAAGTCGGGGGGGGGGCTACGGGGGCTTTAGCCTCCAAATAGTTTCCAAAATGTACTTAAAACCATGCAAAAAATCTCCCTGCTCTTGGATATTTGCATGTTTAGCCCTCCAAATATTTTAGCCCCTTTAATCTGTAATATGCCCGGCGGCCCTTGTAAATGTGTAAGAACATTTCGATCCCGGGGTTGTTTTAGAAGAAAATTACTTTATGTAACGAGCTGTTACGTCGAGTTTAAACGAGACTTATTGCGCGATGACCTTTCTCTTTATACACAGTTTGTTATGGGAAACGCAGTCTGCGAGTAGGTTGTAAGGCCGTGCGCTAAAGGATCAGATTTTAATGCTGAAACAGATATTATCGAAAAAATTAATCGTAGCACTTTCGACTGTTTAATATAGTTTGTAAAAATTATTGGTAATGTGTTTATATATTATGACTACTTCAGTTTTAAAGTATTCAATATCCTTTTTTAGAACAGCAATAGCCTACCTCTCTACGATGTGAAAACTGGGAAAGAAAAGAAAAGAATCCATTTCACACCGGAATTACCAAAAGATGACGACTTTGATTACGAAGCAAGCACAATCTTCACTTGCATTTTATCATCTGCCAAAGGACAGTTCATGGCGGCTTGTATATCAGGAGTTGGTAAAATTGATGGTACCTACCAAAACTGCCAGTGGTTGGCATGCTTTGATATCTACACGCATGAGATGCTTGTTTACTCGACAGCATTCTACTACACCAAGATGCAGGCCTCTCAGGTAAGGCTTTCTTTCCCAATTAAGCGGTCCCTGCCATCAGTTGCAGATTTTACATGAGAAGATTTTGCATTCGTATTTTGATAATTATTGGGAACATCTGTCGATATTATGCTATTTTGCTCTAAATTTCCTATCTTTTGGTAACGCTTCCATCTTTTTGGTCCATGCAACTTCTCTAAGGGCCGCAGGTTTAAGTCGAACATTCAGAAATCTAAAAGTTCCAAAGCGAGTAGACTACAAGTGGATCAGGGCGTAACGTCAAACTTGCCGATTATTTTATGGCATCGATTTCCCACATATGAAATTAGCGTACTTAACAAATATACACAATCTATGTGTAGAGGCACCCGTTTCTACACGTGAAGTTCTTCGAACATTCCCGCCTTATCAGAACACACGTACCACTAACTTGTACGCCTTCCAATCAAGGACCGAGATACCGGGAGGCGGGGGTTGGTAGCCCCCCAAGAAACTTGAGTACTATAAGTAAAGTACTTTTATTTTGTAAAATATGACTGTTTTTACATTTATTTATCAGGGCTGCCCCCCCCCCCCAACTAAAAGTTGTATCTCGGTCTTTGCTTCCAATAGTTGTTAATACGTAGATTTTTCTCTTGGGAGCACTTTCCAAACAGTTGCTGTGTTTTCTGTATAAACCTTGTCGCGCTTTATTTGTATCCGTCTATGTTGCTAAGCTTCGCTCTTAAAGTCACACCGTAGCTAGATCTAGACCGAACTAATTTTATACCATATAATGTTGAATATTGGTTGAATTTCTGAAAGCTTGAAAGTTTGTTGACTATAGTCTTGCTACTAAGAACCGTCTTGTTTTAGACACCAAAGCGTAGCCTTCTCGAAGGGAAATTTGCTGCGGGGGCAAACCTTTGTTTATATAAGGAGGAGGGCAATAGCCTATTGTTGAAGAAGACAATGGAAAATCACCGGGGCTGCCTGGGCGATTGTCCCTCCCCCTTTTGTTAGTATGTTAAAAAAGGCCCTGCACCAAAGCGTGCACAGCTCTGTCTATGGGGCGTCGAACGCTTAAGAACACACCAGTGGCTCATCAGTTACATTTTCGTGATTCATATGTGTTATGAATGTCAATGTGTTTAACTAATCGTTTACGTACGGAATGCTAAGCAATTTACTGGACCAAATCGGGATGCTTGAGGAACAGAACAATTTATTCTATGCGCCTAGATCTAGAATCCTAGCCTTTTTGCAAATTATTTCGAATTTTCATTCTTGGCAATAACCAATGAACACAAAGCTCTCCAATTCTTACAAATTTCTCTACTGAACTTTTTAAAATTTCTCGTTCTTTGTCGCTATTGACCAAAAATTGTGCGACAAAGAACGAGAAATATTGTTATCCTATTTGCTAATGGCTTGTGTTCCTGTAACAATAGTACTTAGCATCAGTATCAGCTCTGGCTCAGTGGATTAGTGTTGTTAATGCTAAAGAATTCAGAGAATAAAGAAAAAGCTCTGCATGCCTGGGTGTGCCTTCATGTCCAGAATGATTTATCAACAAGATGGAAACGACGGATAATCCGCCTTGCTGGCTCACTTCTCCTTTCATCATTGATGTCAAGCCTTGGACGTCAAGTTTTGGTTTTGTGTTTAGAGTTGTGATCCCCAGGAAATCTTCATTCCGAAAAAACATGCCTATACAATGCAAACAAGCAGGTGTGGAGTGCAAAAACTTTATTTCTAACTCATAGGAAAGAAAACATCTTACGAAAGAGACACAAAGAGCAAAGAGCCATTTTTTGAAAGTTTGTGAAAATTTCAATAGAAAATTTGGAGAAGTGTAAACAATGAAAGACGTACTTATATTCTTGTAGGCCTTATTAAGGCATACATTGGCACAGTTGAGCAGTGATTAGTCCTCTATCGCTCGAGTTTTTGTAACTAAACCTTTGTTTGTTTCCTCAGGACGGTTCACGCATCATAGGGTTAAGCCAGCCTATAGCGGAAGAGGCCAAATCGCTGGAAATGTGGGATACAACTGGCATACGGCAAGGGAAACTTAGGCGTATTGCAAAGTTCCTCCCCGACACAGATTTGCGCTTCAATCACTTGGCACCCGATGGGCAAACTGTGATAGCAGGCATTGCCGGTGTAGATGGCCTTGTGTTTTTGCGATTGTGTGGAGGAGGGGAGTTGAAGGAAAGGGAAGAAGATTGTAAGGAGTCAAAGATCGTTGTTGCTGTAGAGCAAAATAAATAAATGAGGACACTAGAAAAGCGCTTGCGTGTACTGTTGATTCTAACTGGTAACAAGAGAGTAAATGGTTTTGTGGTTTGTCAAAGCACTCATAGATATATGGTGAATAGAGCCTGTGGTCAGCCCTTACTGACAAGAGCTTTGCAAAGCTTGCCTTGCTAAAAGAACAATATTGGGCACACGCTTTTTCCACTTTCCCTGGCCACAGGGCAAAAATGCTTTTTACTGACAATTACATACCAGAAAAACCCGAAGGAGCAATATTCCCTGTAGATATTCAAGCAAATTTATGATGTTTTGCACTTGAAATTTTATGTTATACCTGGTAGACGACACATCATAAAGCCTTCTTAAACCATTCTATTAGTAACTAGTGATGTCAGAGCCAGCCACATGCTTCAAGTACAAGGTTTCCTTTTATCTCTGATTTATGAAAAAAAAATTTTGTCTCAAGAGGCACCTTGTCACTGTCAATGACTTCATTGCATGTAGAGTTTCTCATATGACTTTATGTTGGTAATTAATGAACTAAATCAATTGGTCGGGTGGGTGGCATCTTGATTTCATGAACTCAGATCGATTGTATTTATTAGTTTATAAATTTGAAATTACATACATTCTAACAATGCATCAATTCTAGAGCACACAATTTTATAACTAACCTTCACCTATTTATGATATTTTATTACTACATTTTCTTCCATTTCTATTTCATAACTGAATACATTTTATCTGATGTCGTAGCCTTACCAAAGAGCATAACTATTCACAAACATACTTTTGAACGTAATTACTGTTGTCATTCTGGAAGTGGCAGTGGATTGTGCTGCATTTCCAATGTTTTGGCAGTATAATAACTATTTATTCATGAAATTCATCCTCCGAATTGATTTATTTTCACTAGAAAGTATGTTTGGACCTGGTCATGAATTAACAGACAAATGTAGAAACGACACAAATGGATTCAATTTGATTAATTCATGAATCAGCAGAGCAGAGATAGTGTTAATTATAAAAATCATTTCAGTCCTAAGCTGCTTGTTGTGACCTGGCAGCACCAAATGCAGCTTGAATACTTGCAAAAACCAAGTTGGGTGCCAATGATGCATTTACTCTTGTGTGAAGATTGCGCTTCTTGTAATAGTCGACAAGAGGTGATGTCTGAGCATGATAAGTGACCAGACGTTTACGCAGTGTTTCTTCATTGTCATCAGAGCGCCTTACCAGTGGCTCCCCAGTAACCTATTTAAACAGGAAAAACTCCCTGACTGCAAGATTGCCAACAGATCAAAGAAGGTTCTTTTTTAAGGAAAATGCAAAATCTGAATATCAAATGTAGACATGACAACAATTTGAAATAAGACCTGAGGAATGAGGGAGCTGAATATACCCAGGTAACTATTGAATGCTAAAAGTATATAATTCAAACTAAAATTACTATATGTGGTCCTGTCTAGACCTTAATGGGAATATAATCACATATTCACAATGTGCTATTCCTCATCTTATACATAAAATAATATCTTATTATCATTAGACCTTATCAAATTTGATAAAGATTTACAAAAATAGCTTATTTGATAAGTAAATGGAAGGGTAAAATCCAGCAAGATAACCAAAGCATCAATTGTTGGTATACTTAAATGTGTTGGTCCAACATAGTTTAAAGGAGGTTGCTTTAATGCACTAGTTGAAAGCAAACATACTGCAAGCAACTTACATCATCCTTCATCTCTACTTTTGGAGGATTGAATTCTGTGTGGTATGTTCTACCACTCGCTCGATGCAGCAACCTGTTACAAACAGAAGTATTATCATGATTATCAAATATTACTGTATCAAAAATGAAACATGAACAGCCATTAACAATTTATAGACAAACATAAAAAATGAAATAAAGAATTTCCTTGCATGCTATCATAAAGTATTATAAACAAGTATACATTAATATTAGAGCAAAATACCTTCCAGTGATTCTTTTTACAAGCAATTCATCATCTATTCCAAATTCAATAACAGAATCCAATGAAGTCTTCCTCTTTTCTAGCAACTCATCAAGCTGTAAAAATATAACAAAACAGGTTTAGAGGAACCATGCAACAGCTGAATATCAGAGGCTTTGCGGCAAATATTATTAATAAAATGCCAACAATTGCACAGTATTTTGCCAATTTGACCTAATTTTGTTAAATTCATTCATTTACACATTGATAACATATTTTCCATAAGATGGAATAAAATAAACAATCATATTCTCATACAATTATAAATGCATGAATTTAGGATAAAGGCATTCTTCATAAAAGGCACAAGTAAGAAATATAAATCCTTTTGCAGCTTTTAACTGTATTTCTACATAGGAGATTAATTACAAAACTTATAACAATAGAATTAAAGAGCCCATTATGAAACAAGTAATCCTAATCTAGAGGCAATCTTACCTTCTCTGCCTGGGTGACATTCCTTGGAAATCCATCCAATAAGAATCCATTTTTACATTCTGGTTTTGCTAGGCTTTCATCAATCATTTGGACAACAAGTTCATCACTGACCAACTAAAGAAAATATCTTTTATTGCAAACACATCAACAGGATTTCACCATGCAGTCAATGCAAGGTGATAAACATATATAGTTGATTTTAAAGACATATACTTGTCTTTATTTGATTGATATAACCATGGATCACAGAGGTTATCCATGCTTTTTCCTAATGCAGTGTTACCTCAATGAAACTATGACAGAAAATCAAGCAAAAGGGGCGGCCATTTGTCACATGGGTACCCCACCAAATAGTAAAGTTACAATTAAAATGAATGATAGACTTGAAACTAAAATTTGCTTAATCGATGCCTTGTTTTGTGATTTGGTGAAATTTTGATGTGATTCCCATCATTAAAGTATTTTACTACTATAGGGGGCAGCAACGTAGTTTTATGCTTGCCAGTTTTCCCTTGACATATTTGTGAACATCAGGTTTTCTTTTACCTATTATGGTTATGAAAACATAACTACTTTTAAGAATGCTATGGTATGAGAATTTGTGAAATTTCTAAAATGATAGAATGCAAATATCCTTACCTTTCCAGCATCCATAACTTGTTTCACTGTCTTTCCAAGCATGGAACCTGATGCAACAACAGCTCTTAACATGTCACCTGAAGGGTACCATAGAATGTGGCATTTAAAGGGCATGTGTCATGAATATGATTGACTAATGCAATACAATTATCTCTTTTGTTTAGTACAAAGCATGAAATCAAGGGTGATTTTCTATGGCAGTACAAATTATTTAAAAAGAAATTAAAAGTCACAAAACAATGGAATTCCACTCCAAACGCTTTTGTGAATTAGCCAACTGCTAATGCGATATATGCCCTTTAAAGGTTTCAAAGGTATCAATTATTCTAAAAAGTTTTTCAATAAAGCAATAGCTCTCAGAAAATTTGTAATTAAATTTGGTAAAAATTATATTTAATAATACAAGGGAATAGCTACTAAAGAATTTGCTATACAGATTTTTAGTTAAATCAAAATTTTTCTCATATAAAATATCCTACAAGTGGATCCTATCATCATAGCAGGCACGTAGACAGCTAAATTGGATTGGAGGGGGCATGGATAGAAATTTAGCTTTTTCTGTACCTGCTTTCAAGCTGCGCTTACAAGATCTGCAAATACAATTATTGCAAATTATTGGGGGCATTGCCCCCCTTGCCCCCAAGTGTCTATGGGTCTGTCGTAGTCATCTGTAAAAAGCTTTTAATATAAAGTTGCATGAAGTTTGAAAACATTATGAAATCCTTTATGGGGTCTCTTGAGATCATGCTTCTGAAATATTACCTGTTGCAAGATGGCAGGCACAGTATTCCTTTGCTAATTTTGGGGCCTGAAATGTGATGAAAAAGATACCACTTTAATACATATTGCAAGTGGATGCACACTGAAAATAGTGTCTAAGTATTCTATCGGCATTTAACTAATGTCCCTTTACTTCTTTAAGTTCTGAAAGAGGGGCTAACAGATGATGTCATAAATATATATATAATTTTTGAAAATGACTTTGAGAAAAGAAAACATTATACAACATACAAAAAGCTTTTTCCCCTGACACTCCTCAATAGTATAAAACACCAGAATAAGGGTCCAAAAGAACAAGATGAAAAATATATACCCAGTTGTGGATTGAAATAGGCCAATCAGTGTAGTTGTCTTATGATCGAACCAATCAAATACAAGTATAGTTGACCAGTGTAGTTGTCTAATCAGCCAATCAATCAGGCATGTGGTACTGATTGGACAACTATATTTTTGATACACATTTCAGATATATTTTCTGCATTCAAACCTTCTTTCGTCTATATCATATGGTGTTCAAATGGTTTTTTTCGTCTGATAATGCTATTCAAGTTTGGTGTGCAATTTTAGATTTTGGCATGCAGAGCTATACTGACCTTGTGCATGCATCGGCCATACACTTTAGACTGGCATACTCTGCAGAACTTAGGGGGGTACTCTCATAAATGCCTGACAGGTGGTCCAGTCGATTTGAGGGTCTTACCAAATTACTACTAAGTGGCCCAGTTTCGATAATAACACAACGGCCTTGTTTAGTTTGCGATTTATTATAGATAATGAACAAAATTTCATCTTCCCGGAATCAATAACAGTCGATGGTGAAGAAATTTGTAAAAGAAAGACCAGCCCCGCAAGAAATGGATGCTACGAAGGACATAATTTCCATCCTTATGCTACCATTTTTCAAGTATGATCATTCCATATCCAGGGAAGTCCCTTAAACTAATTCTTCTTCTGCCTTTAAGAAACAGCTGTCTGATTTACTTGGTTCTCGCTAACTCCTTCTTGGGAACAAAAATTGGCAGTGGTTTAAAAACCATATTTGTCCATATATTACTATAGGCCCATTTAACAGCTAATCAGTAGAATAATACATTTGTATTTTGTACCTGGGTACCCTTCCCTGCTCCAGGTGGCCCAAGAAGGATAGCATTTACTCCTTTCTTCTGTACATTTCCCGGTCTGATAAATTCTGCACCAGCCGTACTTCCTTTTCCCTTTTCAACTTTCACGACCACGTCAGGTTGGGGAGCCATTTTGAAACCATGCGTCAGAGAACTCTCGCCAGATTGTCCCGATAACCTTCGACCCTTTTCACAGAGGCCTGGGGTCAAGTCTTCTCTGGACGATGGTGACAAGTATGACCTTTGTGCAGTATATGGACGATGGTGACAAGTATGACCTCCGACGAAGGGGCGGCCGGAGGGCTTTGGCCCCCCCACTTTTTTGCAAAACAATATAGTTTTTCAAAATCTTTTGTTATGGGTGTTAAATTTCCTTTGCCCCCCCACTTTTCAACCTTTGTCGGAGCCCATGTCGTTTCGATAAGGAAGAACTTTCTTTTTAATAATAATGACCCATTGACAGGGGCATGACTGCATATTTAACCTGCAGAAAAAATTTTGCCCTGGCAAAAGCTGGAAATGTTGGGAACTGACCCTCAGTTCCCTTGTTCCCGCTTAGGTCCTTCGGTGTCCACAAGTTCACCGATGTGTTTGCCTAACCTTGGGGAGACGAGCAAGAGAAAGTTTTTTTTATGAGTAAGGCAACCCTCCATCCTGGATTAAAAGAGCATGCGCTCATTTTTTACAACACACTTTCGATATACACACTAGCATTTCACAAGATGAGGGTATCAAAGCTTCCCTCATTGTCATCAAAAATCATTATGGGGAAACAACCATGCTGCATGTAAAATTGAACAGACGGTGATTTTTATTCTCAAACAAAATTATACTGCCTTTACACTCTCTTTTTATAAAAACACTTTCATAAGAACACGAGCTTCAAAATTTGCCAAAAGTTGAGAACAAATTAAGAACAAGCTGAGGCTGAGTTACTGTAAAATGTAACTTTGAACAATGTTTCATCTCAAAAACGAGAAGTTTTTTGCTATCTTGGGACCCTTCTTCGGTGAATATTCAAACATAGCGGCAAATGAAGGTGTTCTCGCGCACTTTGTTGGCAAATAAGGTCTGGACACCTCCCTAGAGCGAAAGGCTAGCAATCACACTGCTTATACCCTATAAATTTAAGAGCAAATTAAGAACAGTCCAGCCTCAGATTTTCGAAAAAATGAAGAACAACCAGCCTGAACTTCAATTTACTGGCTCTTATAAAGAAGAGTGTAATGGTAAATTTTATTTCATTAAATGCACCGCAATGGGGAAACCCTTTGGTCCAAATTATGCCAACATATTCATGACAACAATAAAACAACATATCTTGAGCAATGGCGCGTAGTCGTAAATTTTGGAAAGGATTCATCGATGACATAATCTTCATCTGGCAAACACAAGCTTGAAAACCTACAAAAATTTATACAATAAACCCTATATCATCCACAAAAGTAGATATAAAAACAGTATATAATCGACTCCTTTCTTAAAGTCACGCTTCTGGTTACAGTCAAAGCAAATTTAGACCCAAATATGCAAAACTATTCCATCAAATTTTGACCAAAACAGCCCCGTTTACAGTGTCTTAGTTTTCTGGCAAGCGGTGCTTGTCTTTTTAGTATGGTTTTTAGATAAGACACAGATATCAACTAAGGCCTAAGGGTGTAACCATAGAAATGGGTGTAACACTTAAGGTGAAAGGAAATCAGAATCATTTTAGAAATCTATTCTACCCAGCCCAAAATCACGCTGGCAATTTCTACTCCGTGTCACTGGTAGTCTGTATCATTTTAATATTGGAGTAGACAAATTAAAAGCGTAACCTACTTTCTTGTTACAGTTACATAAGAAAAACAACAAAACAGATCCGTTGGTAGAAAACATTTGCCCTGTCAAAATCAGTTTACCCTGCGAAAAGGTCCTACTTTCGTAGTTGGGGGGGGGGGGGTGAACCCCCATACCCCCCTCAAGTGAAGCCCCTGGTCATTGGTTGGATTTTGAATTGACACATTTTCTCTCGCGTTAACAAAGCAGGGTCGATTTTATCAGCTAATGAACAGTGCTACTGAAAATGCCATGCAGAACTGTTATTCAGTAGTCTTAAAAAGTATTCATATTTTGCAGATATGAAAATCAATTTTGAAATAACAACACTAAGAACAGCCGGGCCTGAAATTATCGAAAAAATAAGAACATTAGGTGTCGGCAATAACTGTATTGTTTTTGAAAAAAGTGTGTAGTGCATCAGATATTAAAAGGAGGCAAGGCAGAGTATAATAAAAGCAAACAGTTGTTGATCAGGCAATTAACCCCTTTCCTTATTGCAACAAAAACAGTCTGTGCAAAACTGAAACTGAACTTACTCGGTAAGAAATCTTTCAATAATTTCTTATCTATATATGTCAAACTTTGTGTACATTTTCACGCATATAAAGCTTGCAATGTGTTGAAATCTGTCAGTTGTTTCTCTTTTCCCTTCCTAGTTTACAGGCACCGTGGAGAGTTGAAAAAAGTGGGGGTATAAAAAAGTGGGGGAGGGGGGCTAAAAGCGTATAAAAAGAGTTTGTTTTTTTAGTAGTTTGTTTTTTTTAAAAAAGTGGCTAAAGCCTGGTGCCTGGTTTAGTCGTCAATTGCTGACCTGTGGCGAATTAACAATTCTTCATAGCTTTCTTTGTATTACATGATTCCATATCATGTAACACATGTGTAACATGTATCCAAGCACAACTGATGAGGAAGGCTGTGTCCCACTTCTTTTTTAAAAAATCCTAACAAGAGGGACTGCACCCCCTTGAGACCTCCACGAACTGCATCGCTGTTCGTCTGCAAATAAAGGATGGCTCACCCACTTTGTCGGCAAATGGGATCTGAGCATCCCCCCTTTAGCACAATAGCTATCGACAGCCCTGGTCTAAGATATGAAAAGAAGTTTTAAGTTTTAGTATGAATTTTTTAAGTTGGAAATATTTGCTGCCTTCGAGTTATTTTTACCAAACTTTTGATCACAGGATCAGTGATATTCCTTCAAAAATGATATTCTTCAAAACTGTTTGAATCCACCCATTAATATCTAAAACACAATTTGAGGCCATTATGATGTGTTTCTGATTCATAATTCAGAAAATGTTTCTAACAATAGTCTATTCAATTTGGAAAAGTTGCTGGTGATTGATTCTTTGCAACTATAATGCCAGCCTTTATGTCTCCTTTCCACGCCAATGGAGGAAACTACCCTGCTGGCTTTTCTATTCTTAACATTAAGTTCTCCTTTTTTTAATCGCATACTTGAAGAAACTGGGTTATTTCCTTTCTCGTACCAGTACCATCAAAGAAGTAATCAGGGTATGCTTCTGCAAAGAAACACAATCTACACTTGTATAGTTTCATAGCTGGCTTTCTATATAACAAGTTCATCTTATGGCCTTCATAGTAAGCCAACTTTTATGGGGAAAAAGTTTTCTCGTATCTTCTTTCCCTCGAATAATACTTTAATGAGGGTTGTTGTAAGAATCATAAATTTATCGGGCATCTCTAAAACATGTTAAAATGTATTGTTAATAACTTAATTAAGCTTATCTGGCAAAGAAAAAGTATATTGCAAAACCAATTCATGTCAAAAGATTGATACATGTTCTTACTTGGATGCCTGTGTGGATTTGCAGTGATGTTGTATTATTTGGCAAGATCAGGGCCACCACCAGGCAGAATTGGCACTGAAGATGTGAAGAAATTTTCGGACCACACCCTTTTTTGTTCTTAACAATGGATGCCAATATCACATGAAACTGCAGTGATCACGCAAAAACCAAATGACCTCCTATAGAGAAGGTCTATTTAGCATGACTCAATTCTGTTAAAACTATGCTGAAAGCTAAAAATAGCTTTGCATAGATAAGTGGGCCAAAATTTTTCTAAAATGGCATTATTGCTTCATACAAAACAACATCTTCTTAGTTAAGATGTAATGCTAGATATTTTAAAGATATATTTGTGACAAAATCATATGTTAAAATGACTTTCCTATTGCCAATCAATAAGATTTAGCAATAAAAGTAAATCAAGGAAAAATTATGTTTTGTCACATTTGATTATGCTGAATCTAGAATTGCTTCAGATTTGATGAATCGTAAGCCCTTTTTACATGATCAGACTTTGTCAAATCACCAAATTTTGTTCATAAAATTAAGGAGCTAGGTGCTTCAAGTGCCGTAGTTATAGCACTGTTTTTAAAAAGACAAAGAAATAAGAGAAGAAAACATACAAAATGGACAAAAGAATGGCTGAAGCAATGTCCTGTTTTTGGAACATGTGATGCCCAATTTGGATAAAAGTTGATCCAAACTAGCTTGCCACTCTTTTCTGTTTTTATTAGAAGAATAGATAACAAGCTCTTCCTTTTCTCATATTCAGCAATGATAAGTTCTCCTCTTCATTTTTATGGCCTCATGTTTTTTTTAATTGAATTCAATAAAGTCTGACTGTGTAAGAGCGGCCTCAGTTGGCAGCCAATACAACATTGCAAAACATTTGAGGATGCTCTACTCTCTATTATTTTTTAACTACACTCACTTTTTTACAAAAAACAGGTTATAAGAAACGGTAGGCTCAATTTTTCAAAAGTTAAGAAACAATCCTACCCAAATTGAAAAAAACTAAGAAACTTTTATAATTTGCAGTTTTAATTTTCCCAGTTGAGACTCGATACAGTCTTTTAATAGCAAAATGGCCAGAAATTTGAAGAAACTGCCTACCAGCACCTGATCTGAGTTGCTTATAAAAAAATTGGTGTAATATGTTCCTTCCTTACGTCAACTCTAGATCCAGACAATTTAAAATTCATTTTTGTGCTCTGTTTTTGCGATGTTGTGTTTATATTAATGGAAATAATGGCTCATAGACCAGTAAGCTTTGTGTTGCTAACTTCATCAAATTGTATTTAATGTTATTTAAAATAATACTGAGCTGTTAATGTTATACTGTTCAACAGGTATCGCCTAAAAGGCTAAAACGGCTATAGATATTAGAAATTGTTCTTCGTTGTGTGTGGCAAGAGATTTTATCATCAACTTCTTTTCTTGACGAATGTCAACGGATCTTCATCGGGAAATTGTATTCTGTCATAATCATATTTATTAAATGAATCCACTTTCAAAAGCTTATCACTAGATGGAGTACGTGCTTGAAGG